CTTCCTGTTTTTGTCATGTGATTCCTTTATTCCATTTTCCCACCATGTGTTAATGTTTCAGTGCTTCCACCTGTGTTTTTCTCCTGTGTGTAATTAGTTCAGTTATGTCCTGTGTATTTAAGCTCCTGGTTTCTGTCTGCTTTTTGTCTGGTGTTGAAATGTTAACACTGCATGTCTTTCCTGAGTCTCCAGTGGGCCAAGTGTCTAAAGTAAGTGTTTGTTAATTGATCTGTATATTTGGATAATTCCTGAGGTTTGTGTGTTTATGGGAAGAGAGTAAATGTGACACACACAAATGGCTATTAATGGATATTAACCTACACACTGACCAAACTAATCTAATGCCAATTTCATTCATTCATTTTTCTTGTCAGCTTAGTCCCTTTATTAACCCAGGGTCGCCACAGCGGAATGAACCGCCAACTTATCCAGCACGTTTTTTGCATCGGATGCCCTACCAGCTGCAACCCATCTCTGGGAAATATCCACAAACTCATTCATACACTACGGACAATTTATCCTACCCAATTCACCTGTACCACATGTCTTTGGACTGTGGGGGAAACCAGAAGACCTGGAGGAAACCCACACGAACGCAGGGAGAACACTCAAACTCCACACAAACGCCAACCAAGCCGAGGTTCGAACCAGCGACCTTCTTGCTGTGAGGCGGCAGCACTACCTGCTGCGCCACTGCATCACCCTTCTAACGGCAATTTAGCACAAAAAAGCCAGTGATATCAACACACTACCATGTAAATCTTGCCCACACTGTAAAATAAAACATGACAAATCAAGACGACAAATATTTTATTTTTATTACTTTTAAATATTTTAGTAAGTTAGTATATATTTGTAAGTTATATATAGTTTAACTTGATATTTTTTTTTTTGTCAGTTTAATTGATGTAACTTGAGATGACTAGAACAATTTTATTCACCAAAAAAAAAAAAATTATATATATATATATATATATATATATATATATATATATATATTTATATATATATTTATATTTATATATATATATATTTATATATATATATTTATTTATATTTATATATTTTTATATATTTATATATTTATATATATATATATATATATATTTATATATATATATATATTTATATTTATATATATTTATATATTTATATATATATATATTTATATATTTATATATATATTTATATATTTATATATTTATATATATATATATTTATATATATATATATATATATTTATTATATTTATATATATATTTATATATATATATTTATATATATATATATATATATATATATATATATTTATTTATATATATATATATTTATTTAATTTTTTTTTTTTTTTTTTTTTTTTTTTTTTAACAGTGCAAAGACAAATACATTGCTCCTTGCTAAAATCAGAGTAAGAGCAGACTCAAGATTTACATTTTATTAGTATCTTGTGTTGTAAAATATGTAGAGGAATTCAAGGGGTGACACGGTGGATCAGTGGTTGGCACTGTCGCCTCACAGCAAGAAGGTCGCTGGTTTGAGTCCTGGCTGGGTCAATTGGCATTTCTGTGTGGTGTTTGCATGTTCTCCCCAGTAGGTGTCGGTTTCCTAGGGGTTCTCTGGTTTCCACCACAGTCCAAAGGCATGCAGTATAGGTGACTTGAATAAACTACATTGACTGTAGTGTATGGGCATCCGCTGTGTTAAACATATGCTGGATAAGTTAGCGGTTCATTCTGCTGTGTTGACCCCTGATCAATAAAGGGATTACTAAGCTGAGGGTGAATGAATAAATGAGGTAAATTTAAAGCTGACTGTTCCTTTAAAAACGTCAACAACTGTGATGTTCTGTTTTGGTCACATGGTGGCACTGGTCTCATTTCTTTAAAAACATTGATAATTAGATCGCACCAGACTACATTGCAAAAAATATGATGAAAACACACAGAGAAGCACACACAATTTAGTGAACAGAAGTTGCTTATAAAGACATAAATGGTTAGAAAAGTTAAACTTGACACACAGTTGTCTGCTTTTTGTAAAGTTTTAATTCTGGTTGCATCTATACTCCCATGGTCTTTTGGATAACAAAATGTCCTGCACACTTCACAATCTCAGCATCATTACATAATTTGAGGATTGTTTGATGATTGATCATTAACAGCCTAATCAACCCTTTTCACATTTTAGGAAGCAGACGGTACTCTTCTAGGACTGAACAGATAAAACAACTAATACACATTTTGAATAAATAATTCATTTCTGTGACTGTAAAAAAGATAGACAAACTTCTATTACAGTACATTGGCCAGAAAAAAAAAGAGGAAATATGCTGCATTTGCTGTCATTCCCTTAAGCAGGGTCCATATATAGAAACACTTATGAAGCAGCATTTAGTATGTTTCTGTTATTTAATGCTAGATGAAAATGTGTATAGACCACTTCAATGTGGAGATGCCATGGGCCCCTAAACATTTCCTTTTTGTTGTCAAACTATTTTAATAACTGTAAGAACAGGCAATTCAATTATATCTCAATGTTAAAACAGTTGTCATAACGTTATTTATCAATATGTGGACTTTTTTAGGATTCTTGGAAGCTATGGAAAATAAAAATGTAAACAGGAAATACATTAGGACCATTGTTATAGTTTACATCCTTCATAATGCACTATACATATAAAAAATACCCCCCAACCCTCCTGTATGCTGTATACTCTTCAACCACATTAAAATGTAGGTTGTATTTTGAGTTTAAAATATATGCCTTCATGATGTATGCAATAGTAATATATAACTTCTTTAATGTTCCACATTATATTCTCTGGCAGAACCTCAGGGCCCACCACCCAGTGACCCATATATGACCAAGGAGAACCATTGCTTCAGGGCCATCAGAACATGTGACATGATGGCATTATTGTGACTCAGACATAGCAGTATGAAGATGATATAGAGGTTATGGACATGTCCACTAACTGTCCTGAACAAGAAAGTGTTTTTGTCCAAATATTCAGCAATGCATGCGTTCAGGATAAATGATCTCAAAGCATCTAAATCTTGATTGCCTGTGTTAACCGCTGATGATTGTGCTGTAAATTTTAGAAAAACTTTTTATTCTGCTCTGTAAAATGTGTAATGTATGAAAGTGCTTATTTATAATGAATGCTGCAATGAGTTTTGACTGACTGTGTATGGGGTTTGACCCCTGCTCCAAATGCACTGCTATTAGCTGTAACTGAAATGTAAAGAAGGAAGCTCTAGTGATTAGTGTGCTTTATTTTGCACTCGTGGATTATTTCCTGTGGTAAAAAAACAGACTAAATAAAGATTCATTCTCTGAGGTCATTGATAAAAAAATGCTTTCAGTTCATTTGTATGTTTCAGTGCACTATATTCTTTGTGTTAGTGTACAAGTGTGTTTGTTAACTTTCAAAAATGTACTGTTCTCTGTTTCAATTTATTTTAAAATGCATTTATTCATGTGACATTTTTGGACCTAATTTTCATCAGGCATCATTCCAGTCTTTTGTCACATTTTCCAGTAGTTTTTGTTCTAATATTGGTGCTTAAGAAAGATTTATCATCAACAATTCTGCTACTTTACTTATTTTGATCTAAAGAATGCATCTTTGCCAATTAAAGGTATCCATGATGTCTTCACTTGTTATGATATAGTCAGAAATCTGACATGTCTCCGAAGTCCCTATAGTCTAAACCAGTGTTTCTCAACCACGTTCCTTGAGGACTACCGACACTGCATGTTTTAGATGTCTCCTTTGTCTGTCACACCCATTACAGGTCTTCCAGTCTCGGCTCATAAGAAAAGAATCTGAATCAGGTGTGTTTGATTAAGGAGACATGGAAAATGTGCAGAACTGGTGGTCCTCCAGGAATATGGCTGAGAAACACTGGTCTAAACAGTAAACATGTTGCAAATGCTCACAACGCAAACACATTAAAAATGCACTATAAAAATTTCGCACAATTGCTTTATGTAGTCCCAAAACACAAATAGATTAAGTTAACATAATTGTTTTTTCATAATTGTGGACTGAACATAAAAAATGAAGTTGTCCCAAAAACAAACTCAATAAAATTGCGCTGAATCAACACAATTCTTAAGTACTTTAAACAAGCTGCCAATTGACTGCTGCAAATTCTCACAAGGCAAACAAATTAGGAAAATGTGTTGAAATTTCTCACTACACATGCAAATAGCATGAAATACAGCAAAATGTTTTCAAGGAGACCCATACATGTGACACATAAACATTTCAAATAGAATGTACTGTAAAAATGCTGGGTTCCACACAATCAATTTGTGTTGGGATAACATCAAGGAATTAAGTTGACATTAGTTTTATACAAATGTAGGTGGATTGAACCTAAAAGCAATTAAGTTGTCTCTCAAAAAAACTCAATAGTTGTGTTGTTTTAGCTTTTTAAATACAGTAAGTAGTTTGAATAAACCGCAAACATAATTTTGTGTGAAGACTAACTAATACATACATGCGTACATACATACACTACCAGTCAAAAGTTTGCAGTCAGTTTTTTTTTTTTTTCATGTTTTTTTAAAGAACATGTTTGTTTATCAAGGCAGCATTTATTATTTAAAGGCGGCATTTATTATGTAAAAAATTGTTACATTGTTAAATATTTATTTAAATTTATAATTACTGCGTTCTTATTGTATGTAGTTTCAAATGAAATTATTACTCCAGTCATTATTGCTTTTATTACTATTACCAATAATAATAATAATAATTAATAGAGTTATTTCTGAAGGATCATGTGACTGAAGACTGGATTAATGAAGCTAAAAATTCTTCTTCAAAATCACTGAATTAAACTTAAAATAAATTATAAACTACTTTTGAACAGTTATTTTATAGTGCAATAACATTTTTACTATTTTACATTTGTCCTGTATTTGTAATGAAATAAACGCATCCTTGGTGAGCAGGATAAGCTTCTTTTAAAACATCTTACTGAGCCCAAACTTTTGACCGATAGTGTACATCTAACTTAAAGATGAAATTTGATGCATATGATGGAAAAATTTTTATACAGTATAGTTGGTTTGTCCTACCTGGTTTGCAGACTCTTAATTCGGCAGAGCATGTCCAGATGACCAGCTGAATATTGCTCTATTACATCCTTCACATCATATGGGCGCAGAGTTTCCTTAAACTTCTTCTTTGCCACATGGAATTTCATGATCCTGCAGAACCATACACTAATATTAATGTAACATTAAACAAACTGTTGTACCAAATTATATTAAACAAGTGCCTTATTCTAATTTCCCTTTTAAGTGAAATTTAATGTCAATGAACCTTTTTAAATATCTTGGTTTGGTATATTTCAAATCAACATATTTAGAGTTTAGGTTAATTCAGCATTAAATCAGCATAACTAAGCTTTTAAAAACTAAGGTGACTCAATAACATTGCAGACAGATTAAACAACCTGAAAAAGTCTGAGCCTGCATTACACACCCGACAGGGTACAAATAGGCCCCAGCTGAAAGCTGCAGGGCTACTAAAGCAGTTTGCCTGCAGCAACGACTATTCAGTAAAGCAGGACACTCTAAACTATACAGCAAGTTCATTTTTCAGAGAGAGGTTGGAACAATAAGCACATACTGTCAATCCAGTGCTTTCCACTGACCCACACATTTTAGACAAAACAAAAAGAAGAGTGTGGCTGATGAATGTGAAGTGTGAAGATGACAGTATTCTTTCTTGATAGTGAAATTAGAGAAACAAGATAATGAGGCACTGATTCATCTCTTGCTCTCAGTGACTGAGAATAATTAAATATGACTGACATGACGACAATGCTGCATTCATTAAAGGTGATATCAAACTTTGTTTGGTGTTTTTTTTAAAATACTTTATTTTCTCAGGTTAGGCTATAGAGTAAGTTTACTCTATACTCTGTTCTTTATTTAAGTAAAATATTTGTAGGCTTATTGTCCTAAAAGTATAAACACCTATACAATAAACACCTGCTCTTAAAACCTTGCAGTATTAGCTTTAAGCATTAACTAAATTTAGAAATTTACATTTAGCTAATTAAAGAATTTCTATACCACAAAGGTAAACAGTTTATATTGAGTAAATATAATAACTGATAACATAATGCTATATCGGCAAGTGGCTTGATATTGGTAACCACAGTTGATTTTTACCTTGACTGGTTGACTGGTGTACATAGATTTGGTTGGGTTTGTTTAAATAAAAGCAATTCCACCTGTTTTATTAAGTAACTAAGACAACATAGACTCAACAAACAGTGAGGGGGAAAAATCTGTAGATTTCGGTAGCACAATAAAATACAGTTTACTTTCAAAATGTAATATGCTTCTAACATACACTAACTTTAATAGCTTGGACATTTATTATGCAAATTATGCTGAAGATTTGAATTAATTAATGCAACATACTGTAAGCTCATTGGAAATGTAGCTTTTAGCACTAGTTCTACAATGAAAACCTAATGTCAAGTCACTCATCACAATCAATTCCAACCAATAGCCAAGAGACACAAGGGATATATATAAGCTGTCCATTCATTTCATTTATTTGTGAAACTGCAAAATTACAATTAAAAATACTGCAGATTTTAGGTAAAATAAATGCTACAGGAAGTACAACAGCATCTGTTCCTTTTCACACTAATGATAGGTACAAGGACATATTATCAGTGAATAAATGATTATTTTCATATAGTTATTTGCACAAAAGAAATAAAATCTACTTAGAATGGTTTCACACTTAGTCCAAATGCCTGGTCCGAACCTGAGTTTGATTGTCCTTCCCCGGTTTGTTTGTGGTCACACCGGCTTATTTCCTTCTAAACCCTGGTAGGCTTACGTCATCAAGCTACGGTTTTGTGTACAGCTGTTGCTAGATGACGCCATGAAAGCAAAGTGCCAAAATGGTCTGCATATCACAGTCATTCTGCTTTAACTGAATCTTTTGGTTTTGATACCAGAACCAAAATACATAGAGCTATTAGCGTTTATCTGCCGTAAAAACATAAAAAATGTTTAGAACATCATGCAATGTCTGCAGAACTCATTTTTGGGAAGACAAGCAGACATTATCATGGTTTGTACTGCATGGGTCAGTCCCGCTTGTCACCAAGGTAGGTGATACACTGACATACACACACGAATGAAGCTTATTAAAAACAAAACTTTGTTGTGCAGTTGGTGGTTCAATTCTGTTTTTTGGTATGCTTTTATTCATATCAGAAGTAAACCGTACCAGAGTTCACACAGACCGTAACCCAGACCACCTCTTTCAGGCGGACTAAATTCAGGTTCATGGGTGCGCAGTTCAGAAAACAGTGTTCACACTAGCTAAACACACTATACTTTGATGTCAAACAAACTGGGGTGTGGACCAAAAGTGCTAGTATGAAAGCACCCTTAAAATCTAGGTAAAACCATGGTTGTACTGCACTTTTCTCCTGCAATTGCTTTTGAAAACATTATAGGTTGGGTTTAGTGTGTTTGTCAGTGGTTTGCTTGATGATCCGTCAAACCCAGCCTTTTTGTAGATATGTACAAAAAGGATGTGAATCTAAAATACATAACAAAATTTATCCTAAGTTATGCATTTAAGATTCACAACAATAAAGACAACATCCTCTAATGGATATCACATCTGAAATGTGCAACGAAACGTACCTGGAGCAATGTAGTTTATGTTTCGCAAAAATGTAAGCTGAGGCACACATTTCCAATGAGCCTGAGTTGAATTCCTATTAGCATTTACTGATGGCTCATCAACAATAATATCTCTGGCAAGTAGAAATATAATATAAAGAGCTCTGACCTCACTGCTCTGATGACGGTCTTCAGCGCAGACGGCAGATCCTCCACCGACATGTCACAATGACATCCTTTCTCATCAAAAGCCTCATCCACAGTAACGTTAGCCTCACCTGTGACACACACAATGACAAATAAAAAAAAAGTAATTAGCACTTGGAGAATAATATGTCAGTTAATATGTCAAGCAAAAACGATATGTGAATCACTACATGGAAAGATCACCAAATGAAAAGAACAAGGGACAGATAAACAAACAGTAACATTCATTTGTCATTTATTTGAAAAGGCACTCCTACTCATCTGAGAGCAACATCAGAGGGGAAAAAAAAAACATTTGGAAAATTAATATACTCCAATAATGTAGTGTGGGTCACATTTATTTGAACAGAAATGAAACGAGCGATATAAAACTTTTTTTCTTTACACTGCATACAGTAAAAAAAACCTTTTCACTTTCTTATTTTCTTTAAAAAAAAAAAAAACATTTTACTTTGAGCTGACTACACGTTGCATTTTAAAAATTCAATAATCAATCTAAAAATGTAATTCAATTTATTGCAAAATTTAATTCCACTTATAACAGATGATGTTCTGCCATATGCACTTCTTTTTTCAATATGACTTTTCCCAGTAATATTCTTTGTGACTGTAGGGACATATACACCACGGGAGCTCTAACAAACATGAATGTAGAACTAAGCACATTTCTGGACCTATGAAAGGTTATATATGGCTACAGCTGTGATGTAAACCAGAGACTGTGAAAAGGAACATGTGCTGGATGTACAGAATTAATCTTGCCCTCTGCTTCATGAAGGATTCCCACAGCCTGACTAAAAAGTTGGCAATCGATCAGTCTAGTAAAAACAGAAAGATACTGTATGTACAGCCATAGGGCATATCTGAGGCAAAAAAAATGAAGGTTTCCTGCGTGTGCTTTCAGGAAAAAAGATTATTGATTCTAGAATTGTACTTTAAAAAAAAAAACAAACTAGAACTAGAACTAGAACTAGAACTGCTAGACTGAGCACTACTTTTGACCACTCGTGCTGGACTGAGCAGAATGTTATTTTTGCCAGGTTTTAAAATAAAGCTTTGAATGTCTGTTGTTCTAACATTTTATTGTAATATTTAACAGTGTAAGAGCTGCTGCCCTTGAAGTTGTGAGCCTTGCTTTGCTTTTTTTATCACAGAAAAAAACATTGTTTTCGAAAGTCTAAATGCCATCAAATATCGACTGAAGCAGAATATTTTGTAGATAATGCTGCAAATTTTGGAAATAAATAGGTCTATTTTTTTCAATAAACAACATTTGGATTTTTAGACTATACAGCATTGTAGAGTTAATGGAAACAATATTGTGCAGTCATTACATAAATCAAAAAACTATGAATAAACTGGATCTGTTATGGCAAAATAGTTAATAGCTAATAAACATTAGGACACAAAATGAAAAGGATAATGAACGAATGAAATGTAATAGTTTGCAGAAAAAAAACCCTATTTAAGCTAATTACAGATAGACATTTCAAGTAGAGCAATATTCAGTTCGTTCTTTTGTAAAATAAAACAAATAATTTCTCAGTATTGGAAGGGCATCCGACGTCTAAAACATATGCTGGAATAGGTTCATTCTGCTGTTGTGACCTCTGATAAATGAGAGAGTAAGCCAAAGCAAAACGAATAAATGTATGAATGAATGAATTAATGAATGAATATATTTATTGGATTTACATTTTTTAAGGTAAGCGTTTGTAAACAATTTATAAGGGCTAAATTTTAACTAATTTAATATTGTTCAGCTCAATTTGTTTGTTTAAATTCAGCTTATATAAATTGTTTGCAACAATTTGCAACAAACCATTTTTTCAGTTTATTTTAATTCACAGTAAAAACATTTATGGAAAATATGGAAAAAGTAGCCTGCATTAAAATAATTTGCCGTTTATAATGCATAATGTCAACTAATCACATTTTGTTCAGTGTAATACAATTAAAATTGAAAAACAAAATCTAAAATGTCATCATTGAGTACTCATGGTGAATAATCTGACCTGTGTGTCTAAGTGGGAGAAGACATCCCACCTTCAGATGTCAATATGCAAGGCCAGCAAAATTACTCACACAGCTAATAAAAACAGGAACTGCATGACTGGTTATATTTACATACCCTGATATATTTTGTTAATAAGAAGTATGATTCTCTTGATTCTTACATGATTTTAAAAATAGAAATGAAACTTCTGAGAGTGTTGCTAGCAATTGCTTTACATGTTTATTTCATGTTAATGCTTCATGTTTTATGCTGTAGGGAAACACAAAGCATGTATGCACATAAAGACACTTAACATAATACTTTTTCATTAACTGTTTGACTAAACTAGTCTGGTTTTATAATATTACATCAGATGCCTTGCAGCTTTCCCTCTATGTATCAAGACTTCAGATTGCATCTAAGTCAAACCATGTCTTGATATACAGTATTCATTCATTATTGTATTTGAATTATGCATAATACATATATTACTACAGAAGAGATGCCTTAACCTCGCAGGGCATGAAAGGAAAGCCTCGGGCAGTGTAGTCAAGTGAGTGAATGAAGTTTTCTCATTCATTGCATTACTTTATTGCTTATCTACTGTTATGCACTAGGCCACTCCATTCTTTGCATTTAAATGGCTGAGAAGTTTTACAAAATAATATTTACTTTTTATGGATTTTATCACTCTGCTTTTCGGTCAGACTGTGTTATGAACAGTATCCAGTATCCAGTGGGAGAATCCAGTTCAAGACAAATTCTTTTTCAAAAATTTCCCAAGTGATGTTTAACAGATCAAGGACACTTTTAAAGCCTTTAAATTGTACTTCAATTTGAATACTTATATCTCGCAAAATAATTGGTAAAACATTATGCACTTTCAGCATGGGAAAGACAAGTTAAATGTTTAACTTCTCTAAGTTAAACAGCACTTGGGAAATATTTACAAATCAATACAAATTTCTCAGGTCGGCTAATGATTTTGTTTTCAACTGTATGTCATATAATCTTTACTGAAACATGACACTATCCCTGTAATAACACTGTTGCTTTTGAGACATAATAAAAATTAATTCTGCTTCAAGTTGTTTTGATATATTTTAATTTGTAGTGCAAAAACAGACACAAAGTAATTGCCAATATTGTGTCTTTCAACTAATTAACTTCAACCCAACATTACCTCCTTCATTTACTGCACATTTGAGCAATATCACATTTACAACCCTCTACTGCACTCTTGCCTGGATGCCATTGGTTCAGTGAACAGATTTTCTTTAAAGTCCATTATACTGATCACATCACCACAGGGAATGATTACACACTGATAATTTGCAATAAACCAATAATAAAAAATAATGACTAAAACATGACGAGGGAGAATGATCAAGAACTTTAAAAAAATAAAAGAAATAAAAATCAAAGTGTGGTATTGTTCCATACAGAGTCAGTATCCCTTAAAGTTTTTTAGGATTAAATGTTAACAGATGTGACCAAATTCCCTGTAAGAAATCCATAGTGTTTATTGTGACACAATGTGTACCCCAAAATGCTTCTTACGTCCTTGACACAGCACTCAAATGTGACACTGAAATTAAGCATCGAAATTTATTTGCTGATTTGGTCCGGTGCATACCGGTTACATACTGTAGGTATGGGACCGGATTTCGGTACCCAACCCTACTTGTAAGAGACTGCTCTCACACTCTCACAAAAGACCACATTGTCCTCTGATAATGTCAACAGAGTGGTCCGTTTCAGCAACTGGCTGAATGTAAAGAAGGATTAAACAAAAATGTTTCTACTTCACTATTAATCTCTCAGCAATACCACCTTTCAATGAGTACAATAGTTTGTATTTATTACTTTATAATTATAATTTTTCAATTTCCATATTTGCAATGCCTGTATTTTGGATTTTTTTGCAGTCCACTTAGAATCATTTATTCATTCATTTTCTTTTCGGCTTAGTCCCTTTATTAATCAGGGGTAGCCAAAGTGAAATGAACCGCCAACTTATCCAGTATGTTTACGCAGCAGCTGCCCTTCTAGCTGCAACCCAACAAAGGGAAACACCAATACACACTCTTTCACTCACGTACATTATAGCCAATTTAGCTTAGTCAATTCACCTATAGCGCATATCTTTGGAGTGTGGTGTATACCAGAGCACCCAGAGGAAACCCATGCGAACACGGTGAAAACATGCAAACTCCACACAGAAATGCCAACTGACTCAGCTGGGGCTCCAACCAGCGACCTTCTTGCTGTGAGCCGATCGTGCTACCCACTGCGCCACCATGACACTCCCACTTAGAATCCAACATGGAAATAATTTTTATTTTATTGCCATTGATTGTTTTGAAATTCAATGGTACTTGCTTGTTTTTATTTTTGAAATAAATTTGGCTTTCAAACTAACAGTTTGAGGATTTGTATTGTTTATTGCAGGCATGTTGTTCACATTAAGAAATCTGTTACAAGTTAAACAAATATTCTAATAAACAATTTTAAATTTGAATTTAAATAGTTTAAGTTAAATAGTTTAACTTAATTAAGTTTTTTTTAATGATTATTTATTTATTGCAGAACAAAACCAGCAAACATAGCTAGCAACAACTATATACAAGCCAAGGTTTGCCATAAATGAAAATACATAAAAAAAGAAAAAAAAATACAAATAATAATAATAGTAAAATAAAGACAATAGTTTATTTGTCTTGAGTTAAATATTTAACATAAATTTACATTTGAATAGCCAAATTACAAGTCAGTCTTTTAATTGTAATTAATAGCGATTAATTGCAAAAAAAGTGTGATTAATTAGTTATATTTTTTTAATCGATTGGCAGCACAAAAAATACACAAGTGCATAATGCAAAGCAGAGTATAGATGTATATAAAAAATCAGTATGAAAATACTGCTTCATATTTACACATTACACTGGACCCTATTATTCAGTTTTCAATCAAATTGCAGTCAATGTCTTTTTGGAACCCAGTCAGGATAATTTGGATTCACAATGATCTCAATCAGATGGACAAACTATCATTTTTAGCAACGACCAGAAATTATGATAATTAAAACCATAATTATTATCAACATAACAATCATCATAAGCTCGCTAATGTGCACCATGACTGGCTGTAATAACACAATGAAATTCTAAGACACAAATCACATGTTTGCAACAAAAAAAAAAAAAAAAAAAAATCCTCCAATCAGAAAGTAATTCACCTTCGGGCGTGGACCGTGATTGGCTCTTGAGACGGAGGGAGGGCCTGAATCGGGTGCGGTCATTAAAACTCCAACTCTTCTGGACCTTGGCAGGACTCGATCCATCAGTGCTGATTTCAGCTCCAGGCGAGCGCCTGTCCGTAACAGACGTCTGCCTGCTTTTAATGCTCTGTCCACGTGGACTTGCCATTCTTACCCGGTCTTTAAAACTCAGTTTCTGACTAAGAGGGAGAAAAAGACAGAGAATGAGAGAGGGTGAAAAAAAGTAGAGCACTTTCCATCCTGCCATGAGCCATAGTAAAGACCATTTTTATTAGTTCTGCATTGCTTGCTTAGACCACCCTAATATTAGAAGTGCAGTCAAACAAGCACTCTAAACAATCATTATGAAAAGGCCCTTCGGCTATGATATGCCAAGAATAAATGTAAGATGAAAGGCCTTAGAGCAATGGACAAGGACAGAGGAATAAAAGTCCTTTAAGTAAAAATCTATCTATCTATCTATCTATCTATCTATCTATCTATCTATCTATCTATCTATCTATCTATCTATCTATCTATCTATCTATCTATCTATCTATCTATCTATCTATCTATCTATCTATCTATCTATCTATCTATCTATCTATCTATCTATCTATCTATCTATCTATCTATCTATCTATCTATCTATCTATCTATCTATCCATCCATCCATCCATCCATCCATCCATCCATCCATCCATCCATCCATCCATCCATCCATCCATCAATCCATCTAAAAAAATGCAATTGTGTCAATACATTCATGCAGTAGATTATGTACATTTGCCTGTCATGTTGCTCAAAATATATTTTATAGTTCTCTGTGCAAGAGTCTTACCCCTCAAATCATCTAGTCATTACTTCTATATGACTGGTCATTAGTCTTAAATGACTAAGTTAGGGGTCACCAACCCTACTCCCGGAGAGCTACCTTTCTGCAGATTTCAGTTGTAACCCTGACAAAACACACCTGTCTGTAATTATCAAGTGCTGCTTCAGGTGCTAATTAATTGGTTGGGTTTGGTTTGATCAGGGTTGGAGATAAATTCTGTAGGAAGGTAGCTTTGCAGAAACATGGTTGATGATCCCTGGACAAAGTCATTAAATGCAAAATGGTTGATGTAGTCATAAACATTCAAACATATTTTCAACACAACTTTATTAGATGTTTTGTAATTTTACAATATTTTTTTTCAAAGTGAAAGTGCATGTTGACTTTTCAATTACTGTATAAACCATATCTTTGAAATAGCTCAAAGGGGGTTCTCATGAACCTTTAATTCAATGGTCTTGAATTCAATTCCTGGGGGGTCGCAGCTCTGCATAGTTTAGCTCCAACCACCTCCAACTGACACCTGCCTAATAGTTCCTAGTAGTTTGAACACCTTAATTAGTTGGACAAACTTTGTTTGTTTAGGGTTGGAGCAAAACTATGTAAAGCTGTGGCCCTCCAGGAATCCAGTTTGAGACCTATACTTTAATAGGGTATATGTCGAGCTGGTGTTTTTCCCATACTGATAAACTTCCCATAACCTGTTATTGTGAGTTTTTTTCCATTTTATACGGTTCCTTTTACAGCATCGATGTTGTACTATATTTCAAATACAATCAGTTAAACAGACTTTGGCATGCATTTAATTGCTCAAGCGTAAAATGAGACAAAAAGCTGTTTGCTCGCACACACCCGTCAGGATCGACAGGCTATAGCGCAGAAGCTCCATTGAAAATACTGGGGTAAAATAAATGCTCATATTATAAAGACATGGGGGGAGGGGGGGTGCTGATTTTGCATTGGCATACAGTTCGCCAGAAACGATTAACCTAGGTTACTGGCAAATTAAAAGTCCTATTAGCATGGTTCGGCATATACCCTCTTGGAAGCAAACATAAACAGAGGACAAAGAGCAGTGTTGGGGATAACGGATTACAAGTAATTTGAATTACGCAATAATATTACCTTTCTAAGTAACGAGTAAAGTAACACATTACTTTAAAAAATTAGGTAATATTTGAGTTACTTTTAAAAATGCAATGTGAGTTGCTTAGTTAATAATTTTTAAAAAATTGCTAAATTAAAATGATCGTTGGCACGTTGAATCACACATGCAATGAGAGAATGCAGGAACAGGCAGAAAGTAAGATGGCAGAGCGTTACATTTCTGCACTAGAAATATTTTTTTGAACACGTAAAAAAAAGGAAAAGAGGATTATCTGAATGGACAGTGATTTTACTTTTTAATAAGACACAAGTTAAAAAAGTAGCAAATGCATTTCTATAAGCTTTCATTAATCAGTATGTACGACAAGATAGCTCTGGGGTCAGGAAGTTTTCCAAAGATAACATTATCCTACAATTACTTTTTATGTGTTTTTAAAGGTAAATGAAAGATTTACAGTGTTTCTATTTAAAAAAAAAAAAGTTCTAAAGTTTTGAAAGTGATCAAGCCTCAGCCAGGTCAGAAAAAGTAACGCAAAAGTAACTTAAATGTATCATAACTCATTACTTACCATAAAACGTAACTAAGTAATGCAGCTAGTTACTTTTTTGGGAGTAAGTCAAGTAAAGTAACTTTCCCCAACTCTGACGAAGAGGTACAAAGGCTGACAATGGATTAGTGTGGGTACAAAAGAGCAAACCAAAGGTAAAAACACACATAAAACTGTTAATAGACAAACACAGGAAACACATGAGAAATTCCACACATGCCAATCGAGCCACTGACTCTCACCTACATCTACATTCTCTTCAATACTGTAATAAAAGAAAAGATTCACCTGCACAGTGCATGGTAAATACACATGAATTGAAAAATCTCTTGAAAAGATGCTTGATGCTTTATGACCACAAAATCAACCCTGTTGCATTAATTTGCTTATATGATAAAATAACCAATAGATGTTTTGAGTGGTTAGACAATGGAACAGAGCATACATTTTGAGCAATGTAATGATAATGTAGGAAACCATTGAAAAAAATAATACAAGGTCAGCTACATGAATGCACAAAAGCAACTTATTCATAATAACAAGAAACTGCTTTTATGATGTGCAGAATGACTAGATGTTGTGGACATTCAACAAGAAGTTTTGAAAATTTCATTTTTGATCGGAGAAATATAGAGACGTCGAAGTAGGTTTTTTTGTAAGACCACTAGCTTATAAAAGTGAAGATGTGAATGATATATCTTTCAATCAAAATCCCATAATAAGTAATGTGTACCTTTTAAATAGATTTATGACATGCATAATAGTGCAGGCCTTCACATTTCAATACAGTAAACTTTCATCCAAGCTGTTGCCATAGTTTACCTGAGTTCACTGTTGTATTGAAAAAAAAATGACTAAGCATTTTGACTTTTGATCTTTTTTTGTGAGCAATGACTCAGTGACTTTTTATTTTGATGGAAATAATTTGATCATAGACATAAATTCTTGTTTTTTAAAGAATAAAATAGTTTTTTTGAGTAAGTTAATATTAATGCAAATATTAATGATGATTTGAGAAATGCAGCAAAGAGACTGAGAAAAGCTCACATATAAATGCAGAGATATTCAAGAGCGACAAGTCAATCTTACAAGTCCAAGTCTATGTCAAATCCTACATGAGGCCAGATGCATAAAGCACAGTCCACACAGGTCACTTTCTAACCAAGCAGCCTTCTGTAAGTCAACAGTGTGATTAACTTGTAACCAAGCGGCAGCCTCCCAATCTCCCTTGTGAAGCCAACATGTAAGTGACTAAAGCTGCAATAAAAGAGTCCGGATGCAAAAATCTGTAAGTGCCAAATGACATTTTCTTATAAAATGAGATTTCTTTTTCTCAGGCTTCTCTGTGTAGGTTCAGTAATTTCACTTTATGGCAAATATGGGGGTCCCCGCCCATTTTCGATAACCGGGAGTAATGCGCAGACGATGTGATGATGCGCTGACAAGATGGTGACAGCTTACCCTGTCCAGTTGTAGCTTAATTTGTGTTTTTTGGAAACCTAAAGGTTACGTCACAGGTTTTTATACAGTCTGCCTGAAACCCATGTGACAAACTACTGCAGATGAGAAGATTTTTCACCCTCTCTTATTGTGCGTACTTTGACTGAAAGGCCACACTGAGATAATATTTCATATGACTTCCATTGTTAAGCTCTTCTCTACATCCCACAAAAAAGACTGTGTATATTTTTTAGCAGAACACTTGTGAAAAATCATTATATGTATCCAGTTATTCAGTCCTCTCTATTTCACAAAGAACAATAGGACAGACAGCTGAACATGAGTCAGAGAAAAGAGCAGCGGCCACTCAAAAATGCAGCACTGCAGTGAGTCATCCACTTCTGCTCAATAATGTCACATTAGCAACTATGCTAATTATGGTATCATTGCCTCTTGGTCATTGATGAGTAGTGCAACATAAATGAGCGGATGGATGGTGGTTTCACGCAAAACAACTGGTTAGAACCAACCGAAGCATCATATCTGAACACCTTTTTGAAACATGTGATTCACTTTCAAAAATTCACAATAATGTGAAAATGATTTAGTTTGTCATTGTTCATTGGGCCACGTCATTATGGTTTAATATAAATGCTTAATTGATTCAATAATTATGCAAATGACACGACTAGTTCTCTCTGGTATTTGGGCTGATGACACTGCATTAGTAGCTCGTGTGTAATGCAGTCATTCAAACAGTCCGATTTGACTTTCTCATCTCCATTATTTCCTCTCTCTAATTGAAGCCACTGCCCCAATAATCACATTTGTCTGGCAAGTGACAAAACATGAAAACATGAATACATCTCCATTATTTGTAATTTCGTATTCCATCTGCCCAATGTGTATATGTGTAATGAAACACGCGAGTGCACTTAGCAGATGACAGTAAACAGACATCAGAGGAAGCAACTGGTCAAACGTGGAACCCTATTTTGTCCTCAGAAAAGAAAATATAATAAATAAATCAATTAGGGAAACTCTGATTTGTGAAGTTGTTGGTTGAATATGAAAATAAAATTATAAAATGAGTCACAAGTGTATGAAAAAGATAGCAAATTCCCTGCTGTAATATTTAATTGAAATATTAATAAACAAATCCATAATTAAAAGACACCTACAGTATATGAAGTCAACATCTGAAACTCCATTGTACAACAAAGTAAGAATATTTAACTGTCATCATCCCACCACCACTGACTAATCATTACCAACTATATATTTTTGTAACAGTCTTCTAAATGCATATTTTACCACAATTTCTGTTACGTTATGTTACATTAAGCTGGAAGAGTAATAAATTGAAACACTTTTAATGTTACCCTACAACCTGTGGTAGAGATCTGCGCGGGACTAAATTTTTAAATCCGCTCCCGCCAGGTTTTAGTCCGAACCTGACCGTTCCCGCTTATATTCAGCATTTGTTGTCCCGCTGCCCGTCTCGCCCCGTTTTCTACCCGCCGTGACCGTTTCCGCTAACGATACCAAACAAAAAACAACCCCCGCTAAAATAAACCAAAAACCACCTAGCTACAAGATACAGACAGAGTCCAGACAGCCTATAACAAGCTGTCTGTATAAACACACACACATACACACACACACGCACACACACACACGCACACACACACACATACACACATACACACACATACACACACACACACACACACACACACACACACACACACACACTGCACCAAGCGACACACAACATCACGATCACTCTCATTCAAACACATACATACACGTGCTCGCTTGTTCGGGAGTCGTGAGGGATATTGCTAGACTGCACGCTCCCGTTCAAATTACACCAGTTACCGACCGATCCCGCGCTTTATTCAGAAATTTATGCAGACTTCTAACATGTGGGACCTTTTACAGTTACATTTTTAAACCGTAACATTGTAGTCTAAACGCAATGATGACTAACTGTACATAACTTGATAGCTTAAAATTTTGATTTTCCATATATGGTGAGGGATTTTTAAATAGCTTTTAGTGAGCAAAAGTCATTGATTAATTTGCAACAAGTATATTTATCAGAGACATAAAGCATTACTTTGCTACAGCAATCCACATGTAAAATTTTGTTGAGATGTTTTTAGATTTTTTAGAGGCTAAGTTCAAATAAATATCACCAGACTGTCCATACTACTTTAGAATTGTATGTTTCTTCACAAATATTGTCAGAAGCATGAAACAAAATACAGTTAATATTCTTCAAAACATAGGGGGTGACCTTATAAGGTCATCAATGTTAACTAAATGTCATCTGGTGATTATGTTTGATACTGCGGTCAAACTAAATCTTACTGAAATTGTAATTTATTGAGATATCAACTTTAAAATTGGAATATATTTTGTTCACATATTTAGCTTTGATTTTAGGATAGAACACGCTTCGCAAAATACAAATTTTATGTGTTATATTAATGTATACACTTTTCTTTTAATAACAATAAAGGCATAGTTTAGCTCAAATTTATAGCATTGAAGATTGAGCTTCATTTAAGTTGAACATGTTATTTTCATGTCTGTGTTCAAAAAGTTGGGGCGACAGTTAAGGTGATAAAGAGAAACTGAAATCATAATTAGATAGTCACAATACAATGCATGAATCCACAAATCTCTAACAGACTTCCAAAATTAGATTTATTTGCTTAGACTAACAAAAGCTAAAGCATCGCTCAAATGTAAATTATTTACATTATATGGCATGGAATAATACAAACCTTGTTGCTGACTCTCCCTGATCCTTCCTTTTGGTGTCAGAAGGTGATATAGAAAGAAAAGAAAAACACATACAAGTGAGATGTTTGGCATGTATCTAAAGTAGTCTTCAAATTCATTTAATACAATTTACCATGACATATATCATGCATACTAATGCACCAAAAGCAACAGCCAGTTCAAAACATTAGCATTCACATTCATACCAAAACATGCATTGCATTGCAAGAAATTCAAAAGCTCAGGCAAATTAATGTATCATATACATTCGGAGTCCTGCTAAATATCTTGTTTATTCTAAAAAGGTCTATTTTAACAGTCATTATGGCTTAAAAGGATACATGTGAATGGTAAACTTTGGTAAGTGGTAAGGCTTTTTCTTAATCATCTTGACAATTTGACATTTTCTGCAAATAATATTTACCAAGCTAGAACTCTACAGCATATTCACTTTGTCCATGATAGAGGCATTATGAAACAGAGTGAAGGTAGAAATGTAAAATTGAGCGAAGCATTACTGTCCATTTGCTTTTTTTCCCCTTTCACTTTGGGAGAAAGACTGTAATCAGATGATTTCACAGACAGCTAGACCTACATTAGACCTGCTTTTGTCTGTAACATTATGATTCATGTGGATGTCTATAAGTCTCTAATACATAATGGACAAATATAGTTTGTTGAATGCTGAAGTGAAGAAAATATGAAACATGAAAAGAAGAATGGGACATATTTGTAGGAGACACAATAAAGTAACACAAACAAACAGAGGGAAATTTCTCTTTGTGAACAAAATGGAGGAACGAAGGATTGAGAAAGGATAAGTTTTAAAAAGCCACTGCCAGGGGTTTGTACCTACTTTGTAGGACTGCAGGTATGCAACGCCTTCAAATGAGGTTTCCAGGTAGCAACGGAAACCGAGTTCTCATCAGCCGCATAGCTACGCCACACACACTACATGCAAAAATATATAAAACCAAAAGAACGAGGGATAAAAGTAGAAGAGGAAAAGACAGAAGAAGAACAAGCCCAAAGAAGATAAAGAGAAGAAAAAAAGAAAAACAAAAAGGAAAAAAAAGCAGATTAGTAAAAAAAAACTACACAGGTTTTTCGGTCAGAGCAGGCACCAATACATGCCTCCGGATAGGAATTGTAGATTCATAATGATGCCAAGTGGCCTGAAGGTAAGGACGACTACCATCTGTGGAGTAATATCGCCACGCAGCCTTATTCAGGATTAAGGAGAATAAAACATTGTGAGCAGAAAAACATTTCATAGAAGAATCCTCAATATATTTTGCAACACATTCAGGAATTTTTTTTATAACTCTTTGTTGCAAGCAAAGCCTTGGCTTTGCTTGTATCCTTGCTTTGCTTTTTTTCTGTTTTGTTTTTGTTTAATACTATTCCTCTTCTGTTTCGTTTTAGTTCATCCCCCACCCCCAATCTCTGTCTTGAAGTTGTTTTTCTTTTGTGTTTTTTTTCTATTTTATTTAAGTTTAGTTTGAGATTCTACATTTACAGAAGTCTTTGTTTCTTCTTTTTGATGAATCTATTTCCCTAATCAGTCAATGTTATTTGTGACTTTGGGATTTGTATGCATTTCTTAATGCTTAATATTTTATTTTTAAGATCTAGTTATAGTTTTCTTGCACTATTTTTTCTTTGGTCACATTGTTACCACTGCCTGTTTGCTGTCCTGTCTTGTTTCGAATGTTTCTCTTAAGCTGGTTCCAGTACTGCCCTTCATCCTGTTTTCCCTGGTCAGTGATTTTTCAGGCCTGCCTGTCTGGTGTTAATGCTTCTGGTTCTATCCAGCACTGCCCTTAGATTCCAGTGCTGTCTTGTCCCTGCCTGACTGGCTTCCCTGCATAATACTGCCCCTACTGTTTACCTTTGTCTATCTATCAGTGTCTTGCCCTGTCAGTAAACATAGTTTTCTGTTCAGTGCTGCAACTGGAGTACTTAATTATGAGCTTTATCAAAATTGTGCATGACAAAAGGAGTGTGCAAAATTTAACATATATATTTTCATAAACAAAGTCTTTTCAAAACATGTCTTAGGGTGCTTTCACACCTGTGAATCGATTCAGTTGTTCCGAAACAGAGATTAAAAATGTTACATTGTTGCTATTTGTTCTTAGTGCGGTTCGCTTTCACACTGCAAAGTTTCTAAACAGGCCAAAAGAGCTAAAACAAGTCATGTGTGATTAAACTCTCCTCACATTTGTCAGAGTTTCACGGTTTATTTTGCAGAGTCCTGCTCAGCTGTCAAGGGAGGTAGTGTTTGAAAAGGTGCGCGCGACGTGTCTGACGAGCGAAGAGGGATGCGGTGGGAAGGGTTGAGAAGCATGCGCAACGTATTTGAGGACCGGGAGGGAGACGCGTGATTATCGGGAGATTATCACTCGTTTGCAGGCATCCGGAAGTCTCTGTGCATTTGCGGGAGACTCGGGATGTCTGTTGAATGACCTTCCGCCCTAATCATAACTCTCTTCATATAGCTGTATGCCTATTACATATCCATAAAACACAGTGATATAATCGGGCCCGGATCGTATCGCTTTCTCACTACAATTGATCCGCTCCAGAGTTTGTTTCAATCGAGCCGAGATCGCCTGAATGAGGTGGTCTCGGCTCAATTAAAACGAACTTCGGAGCGGATTGATTGTTTTGGCGCGGATCCGTGAGTGATTAGTGGATTCACGTATGCCAAACGAACCACTCTAACTGGGCAAACAAAAAGAAAACAAAAACGAAACAAAAGTCTAGATGTGAAAGCACCCTTAGAACAGGGGTTTCCAAACTTTTCAGCATGCGACCCCTAAAATAACAATACCAGTGACTCGCGACCCCCAATATCCCCTGAGGTGATTATAAATACAGAAAACTTGCATGCAATGGCGCACACACACACTAATAGACCAAAGTCTATTCTTCGTTTAATTTTTTAAATGTATTTCAGTGCTGTAAATGGGCCAAAAAGTTTAACCTGGTGTTATAAAATCAATCTGTTGCATCTGACGCTATTGCTGTGTCTTTAATATAATGTATTTACCCCATGGGTCGCAATCCAATAGAACAAGTAAATAAGCTACTATAGTAACTATAAACGACTGTTTTTTTCTCTTCAGTTGGTTATGGATAAAATATGGTAATTCTTATGGTCTAATAATAATAAGTAGATTTTTGGAAATCACCAGGCGACCCCCCTTCATTGTTCCGCGACCCCTCAAGGGGTCCCAACCCCCACTTTGAGAACCACTGCCTTAGAAGACCAAATGCGTTCAATGCATGATGAAGCCTAGAATGCCATTAGAAGAATATTACTAATTATAGAGTAACAACATAGAGTATAAACTAAAAAATCCGCCATATGAATTTTGCTTTCTTATATTTATATGATATGACATTGAGTACGTTTACATGGACACCAATAATCCGACTGTAATACGATTGAAGACAATAATCTGATTAAAAGTCTACCATGTAAAGAGTATGCCAATTTTAGTTGCATTACTGAAGTGCAGTACAGACATGTAAACACCACAATCAAGCTATTACCATCATGTAGGACTTTTACCTCATTTCGTGACAGGATAGTCTATACACACATGGCTGTTTGACACTATCCTCTGAACCTCCCGAGTCAGTAAAGGACCACAGACCCCTGAATTGTGAAAAAAAAAATCCCCATATGGCATGCGGTCTCAAATTCTATCAAAACAATACTCTTCCCTGCATCCAATATCTCATTTGTTACAGGTGGCATGCATGAAACTTTCCGGAATGAAAGTGAAAGTGCCAAACTGCAGTTTGTCGACAAATTAAAAATGAAACAACTGAAATTACATGAAACTCTGGAGGAAATGTGGATAGTTCAGTGATGCAAAGACATTAATTGATATATGTGCTTAACATGTAAAATGGGATCATGAAAGGAACATTCAAAAAGCAACTTTAGTAAATTTCTTAATCATATTGTCTTATTTAGATTAAGGCAAATAATTTGATTATTGATGTCCATGTAAACATAGTCAAGTGAAAAACACAAGAAAGATATCAGTGATTTTGTACATTTTAGACACAGCAGTGTTAAATTCATCAATGAAAATAAGCGATACAATATTTGTTGCCTATGCCTTGAAACAAACAAACTTAACAGGTCTGCTGGGCCAGTAATGTGACTAAAAACTAAGACTGTGTGTGCTCTCATCTAATGAATGAACAGTGAAACTATATCTAGTCAAAAAGATAAAAAATAGCCAACATTATTTTATTTATAATCAGCGGCACTATGCTGCTTATGGGTGATTGAATCAGAGCGCGCACACTCAGTAACAATACTGCTGCAGCAGGCCTGCCAAGTTTGTTTCAAGTCATTTCTGCTGACGAAATTAACACAAAGACATAATATGTTTTTCCCAAAAATCTTTTAGTGTGGCAGTGATATGTTTTTATAAAAATCCTGAATCAGCCACGTTTCAACATAAACCACACCAAAATATTGTTTAATTATTGTGATAAAAAAAAAAGTTTCATCAAATCTTAATGGCACCCTATGACAGCTTCACACTGTGGGATTGTTTACAGTAAGAAATGTGTTCATGGATCAAAAATGAGTGTGCTGTTTCGCTTTAAGGGTTCCTGTGTGGCATAAATTATCATTCACACCTCCTCAGTTTTTGTAGTTTATCACTAATTTACAAAGCTTCTTGATAACCAATCAAACAGCTTAGATAAATACTTCAATCTATACAATACATAATCATAAAACCAGTTGTTGCTGTTCTTTGTTATTTGTCTCTCTTCTTTCTTACAAGAACTAACTAGTCCTAAAGAATATTATCATGACCCTTTAAAACCAGTGAAACACTGGATGTCTAAGCAAACAAAGTCTTTTTGCAGTAAAGTGAATCATATTTGGAGCAAGTTTTTAGCTAGGACTATCTGCTGTCTCAGATAGTCATAAAAGATTCATCAGGCAACACAGACAAACATTGTGGTGCATTCAGACATGAATAACAGTTACATAAAAAGACACAGGACCAAACAGTACTCTAAAAAGGGACATGAGTCTTTATGACACTATAAACCAAGTTTTATTGTACCAGATTGTGTAATATCACTCAATATGAAGGCAGATTAATAGCTCTTGTGTCTGACCTGTATGAGGCAGGCAGCAGGGTTCCTTCTCTTCTCGAAGTGCTTCTGTCTGTGCTGCTCTTGAACCTTCAAGGCAAAACCTGAACCCAAAATACCCTGCAAGTGAAAAAGAACCATATCATGAAAAATGGACAACACTGCACTTGGTTTTGAATGTATATTTACTGTCTGAATTTTAAAAATATATATACTTGTTTCACTTGGTATTGGTACTCTCTGTTTACTCATTCGTTTTGTAGTGTTGTATGAACACTACATTTGTATTCTCTAAACACACTCTCTGTTGGTGGCACTGCGAGCAACGTGCCTCACAAATAGATCATTTTTCGGCTTTATGAAAAAAAATAATATGCTAATAATAAGATTTGATTGTGCAGAGCAGCCTGGAAACCAAGAAAAACATTGGAAACAATTTCAATTATGCAAATGATTTGTAATTGATTTATTTATTTTTTCATTTTTATTATCAGTGTTGTATCTGGAGGAGTGACAATAAACACAAGCACTGAATTAATACTGTAATTAGTGTAGAGACACTAGGCACAATGTCAGAATGCTTTTTGGTGTGTGTGTGTGTGTAAGGTTTACCGCAGGCAGTGTGAAAAAGGAGATGCCGAGCAAAGCGAAGCCAGCAGACAGCATTCGTCCGGTCCAGGTTTTAGGAGTCTTATCCCCATATCCAATAGTGGTTAGAGTGATCTATTTAAAAAAAAATAAAAATAAAAAATAAGTAACCATATCCTCACAATATACTTGTAACTACATTACAGTTAAAATAAATAGATACACAGACAAGTTGATAACTTTGTTAAATGTATTATTATTATAAGAGGGAATGACTAAATTTCATAGGAGGACTTACATTAAAAAATGTTTATGAACAAAAACTAAAATGTATTTACATTTGTAAAGCTTATATGAATTGTGAGTATTTTTAGGAATTTAAGGATATATTTACAATCAGGCTTTTATGGAATGGAATGATAAATGATAAACAACAAATGTTTAATTTACAGTAAACTGAATCCATTATTAATGTAAACCAAAGACTATAGAATACACAAGACATGCCACTCGTATAGTTTTAAAAGGGGAAAAATGTAACGGTTAATATGGCGAATAAAGCCCCACCAACTAGTACAGGAGCCAAACATTGATCGCTATAGATCAGGGGTCACCAATCTCGTTCCTGGAGGTCCGGTGCCCTGCAGGGTTTAGCTCCAACTTGCCTCAACACACTTGCCTGTGAGTTTTAAGTATATCTAGTAAGACCTTGATTAGCTTGTTGAGGTGTGACTGATTAGGGTTGGAGTTAAAATCCGGACACCGGACCTGAAGGAACAAGTTTGGTGATCCCTGCTATAGACTGATGGAGAAACTTGTAACCAATTTGGCTTTGTGGTCAACAAACACACCGCAATCTCAGCTAATACTTGCTTCACAGACATATGAAACATAACCACATAAAGCTTGGAATCAGTTTTAACTTTTAAATGAACCAGGTGCACTTGAAAACAAAAGTTTATTGGTTTTGTAATCTGTATGAAACAAAAGTGAGGGACAGTCAAACGCACATCACATAACAGGAACTACTGAAACACTCACAAAGTTGAAAACAAAGAGTCACTGTCATTTCTGAACCAGATTAAACATAAAGACCAAGTTGTGGATTACTTCAGAAGACCAGTGCAATCAGATAATCATTATTCAGAGGATGATAATGTGTAGAACGCCCATAAATGAGGTTGGTGTCTGTATCTTTTTCCTAGTGTGCATGCGCATTAACTTGGGCAACCTAAAGAATTGCTCATTTAAAAACTAAACTTATGAGACAGCTGTTGTTTAATTGTATTGGTGGTTCCAAATATGTAATGTAATCGTAAGCCTGGCAAACAATTTTGGAGAATTTGATGTTTCCCCATTCAGACAGAATGCCCAAGCATACTGCCCGAGAGGCGTTTTAAAGATCACCGCCAAGGGTAATGACTTGCTTTAAAAGGACTTTGTGTAAACCCATGCAGAATGCTTGTGTGAAAGTGAACATCTGATTCTGTTACTAATTTCTGCTTAATTTATTTTCAGTATTTTTAAACAGTAAAAATATTTCAATATTTATAACCCAGCTAACAATAACAGAGTTGACATTTTCCACCATTTTGCGCTTTAGCTCTAGATGCTAGATACACGATAGAAACTACAGGGCATACAGAGTTGACAAATTATTAATCTCTATTAGTGTATCCTAAGCATTTGTACAAACGAATGAGAAAAGAATAAAGACATGCCTTAATGCCTTCTCATCAGTGGAGGTGACATTACTTGCAGCAATTCATATGCTTTTTCTATCAGTGCTTTAAATATATAGAAGTTTTAACACAAATTGTATTTTTTACAACTGAAATGACAAATAATAAAAAATAGATGTGTCATGAAAGGGCATCACGGTGGCACGGTGGGTAGCTCAATTGACTCACAGCAAGAAGGTTGCTGGTTAGAGACTCGGCTGGGTCAGTGCGGAGTTTGCATGTTCTCCCCATGTTCGTGTGGGTTGAATTGAGTAAGCTAAATTGTTGTTAGTGTATGTATGTTAATGAGTGTGTATGGGTGTTTCCCAGTAATGGGTTGCAGCTGTAAGGGCATACGCTGCATAACAACACATATGCTGGATAAGTTGGCAGTTCCGCTTTGGCTACCCAGGATTACTAAAGAGACTAAGCAGAAAAATAAAATGAATGAATGAGAATGATTGAATGAATGTATGAATAAATGAATGAATGAATGGGGCGATGCAGTGGTGAAGTAGGTAGTGCTGCCACCTCACAGCAAGAAGGTCGCTGGTTTGAGCCTCGGCTGGGTCAGTTGGCGTTTCTGTGTGGAGTTTGCATGTTCTCCTTGTGTTCGCGTGGGTTTCCTCCGGGTGCTCCGGTTTCCCCCACAGTCCAAAGACATGTGGTAAAGGTGAATTGGGTAGGCTAAATTGTCCGTAGAGTGTGAATGAGTGTGTGTGGATGTTTCCTAGAGATGGGTTGCGGCCAGAAGGGTATCCGCTGCATAAAAACGTGCTGGATGAGTTGGCGGTTCCTACCGCTGTGGCGACCCCAGATTAATAAAGGGACTAAGCCGAAAATAAAATGAATGAATCAATGAAAGAATGAATAAATAAATGAATGAATAAATGAATGAATGAATAAATGTGTCATGAAAGTGTTTATTTACTCTAGGCCTAGTGTAAACACTTTTGGACTTAAATTTGACTTAAATTTTATTGTTTCATGACACTGAAGCTAAATGCATGATTTAAGAGGCAGAGACTGTCAAAAATAGGTACAGAGGAAGTCTTTAAGGCAAAATGTCCCTGAACACAGACACAAATATATTTTTAGGAATAACTTAATATACTTTTTATCTGTTTATTATTCAAAACTGTTTCAGTGATTGATTTGCTGTAAAGTTTAGAAGATTTATCTATTGGAGATGAAAAATGTTCTTAAAATTCTATAATCACCCTTGTACAGTATATGTACAGTATATGTAGTCACTTTTTTATGTCACAATACCACAAACAAGGCTATTCCAAATCATTAATATGGCATAAACCAGAAATAGTAAATTACTATTTAAAATACATTGGCCCAGAAATCATCTTCATCCTTCATACAAGAGAAAAGGTGTTAAATAAAGTTGTCATCCTTTTAGTTTATGTTTTTTTGGGTGAAGCAGTTTGGCATCTGCCTAATGTTTCTGCAATGCAAATCCGAGTTATGCATACATAGTTTGACTGAATTTGATTTAATATAAAAGAGAGAAATGTATGCATGATTACACTGCCAAACATTTTTTGGTATAAATTTACAAATTTATTGGTATAAAATAATTCTGGGTAAATTTAACAATGCTGTACTACACAATTCTATATACTGTATATTTATTTGCATATATATCTGTAGTCTCTTAATTTATGCCTGAGAATTCCCTTTGTCTTTTTTCCTTTGGGTTGAAAAATCCTGCCTGAACTATATTCTCTGAACAGTCAAAGGCTGTCGAGCGAGACCAGAAATGGCGTCATTTTCTCAATTTGTGTCATCGTGATTACTTTCTTTCTTCATGGAAATGGAATCTAATGGTGCCACGTAATAATCTATATGGAAAAGGTTTCAATTTCCCAAACAAGGTAGAAGGCGATGATCAAAACGCTAAAAAAGGGAGAGAGTCTTAAATTATAAGTGAAATTTGATATCAAGGTTCATATTAAACTAAAATTAGAGTGCTTTGCAATTTTCAAGTATTGTTGGACTTTAGCAAGAGCGGGAAAAATGGCCCAGAATAATAACTGTACAAGAGGCACAGAGGTGCTAGAACATGAATCTGGCACCACATTAAATATGAATGAGTTGTTTTGTAAAGCTCAGTATAGACCAGACTATTACCTGGACTCTGATAGAATGTACCATTATGTAGAAATGTGCAATGTGAAGACTCACCGTGCCCCACCATAATGCATCAGCATAGGTGGCAAAGTCTTTATTGAATTCCTTTTCCACCAGATAAACCAGGAAAGAGGAAAAGATGAGCACAAGGAACCCAATATACCAGGCAGTGACCAGTTCCTATCAGACAGAGAAGCAGATATTGAGGACGTTTAGAGAAGATCGGCAGACGAGGAAGATATTTACAAAAGAACAGAAAGTACTTTCAGACATGGCTGTTTGACACAGACTATCACTGCAAAAACAAATTGAGCTTTTAGAATTGGTCTACTCATTTTACAGACAACCTTTTAAATAATTTTAGATGACAATTTGTCAAAAATCAAGTTACCTTGCTGTGTGCATAAACTACAGATCCCAGAAGCTTCCAAGTTCCTCCGCGGCGGTCCATGCGTACCATTCGCAGGATTTGTAGAAATCTTAAGCTTCGCAGAGCAGACGTTGCAAAAATGTTGCTTTGACTCCCCGCCGAAACCACAGCAACTGAGGCAATCAGCACTATTATGTCTAATGATTGGAAAAACAAACAGAAAAAAATACATTTTACATGAGTCATAAGTGTCCTAACATGATTACAGATGTAAAATTCAAAATTATATATTTTTGCTACATAGACAATTTGATGCTGACAGGTCACATGTTTGCTTTTTTCACAAGGAATGTTGTTGCAAAATAAATCTCACCCTTCAGATTATCAAGATAATGCTAACATTTAAAAAAAAAAACTGAGACTGTTACAGAATAATATATTCAACCTCTACAATATCTACATTTTTTTCCTGTTCAGTCTGAAAGTTGCAACTGAGTTCCTAGGTGACCTGTTCTTATAATAATTACGCTGTAAATCCCATTGAACAAAGCATCCATTAATTAATGGACCTCAACCTTTGTGACTTGAAGGCCACCTATTATATTTCCTCCAGCATTTCTGCTGTAATTATGTCAAAGCTGCTTTTTCCCCTTACATATTATTATATTTTTGAAAAACGGTGAACACTGATGTATTAAAGTAATGGACTGTGATTCTGGAAATTCGTGATAAAATGATATAAATAAGATTTCAGTTCAAATATCTATATCTATATCTATCTATCTATCTATCTATATATATATATATATATATATATATATATATATATATATATATATATATATATATATATATATATAGATACATACATTAAATACACATATTCCATTATCCTGAAAAGTTTTATATACTTTTTTAAATATACAGTACATAATAAAATAATACTTTTGAAGCCAAAACGTTACCCCATTTGTCAAGAACAACTGCTGTAAATCAATAAAAAGTATTTTGTTTAGATTTATCATTAACCTGAAAAATGTCACTGCACTAAACGGGTCCTGACACTAGTCTTGTCGTTGGTCACAATTTAAAGAGCAACAGATATTAACTTGACTTCTAGTTTTATCAACATCAACAAGTATCAAGACATTTGTGCTGCCTATTACATTACAAACCACAGGAGTGGGCAAATTCTTCAGCAGGATAGTGCTCCTTCTCATACGTCATATCAAAGTTCCTGACGGTTAAGGTGCTTCAGGATTGGCCAGCCTAGTGACCAGAAGTAAACATTGAGCATGTCTGGGATAAGATGAAGAAGGAGGCATTGACGATGAATCCAAAGGATCTTGACGAACTCTGGGAGTCCTGCAAGAACACTTTCTTTGCCAATCCAGATGACTTTATTTATGTTATTTGAGACATTGCAGTAAAGTATGGATGCAGTCCTCCAAGCTCATGGGAGTCATATGCAATATTAATTCTTTTTCCATTGCACTGTGACTTATTCTATACTGTACATTATTTCTGTAAAGTAAGAAGACTTTTGTCTAAGCAAAGTCAGACCTTACTGTCGTAATTAAATAATTTAAAATCAAGACATCATGTTTTGTTTTTGTAAAATAAGCATAATCTAGAGGCTATTGCCTTCATATAAGCCACTTCTGATACCAAGTGATTAACTAGAAGTCAAGTTATTATTTGTTCTTACTAAAACATAGACAGTGACAAGACTTTTGTCAGGAAGCGTAACTCCCTGTATCCTAGGTGTACAGTAAGGGTAAATGAATGTCATTTCTTTATCTCTGATGTCTCAAATGAGATTTCCCAGAGAAACACAGCCATTCTGTTATTATGAATCGATAAAAAAGATTGATTTCCAAACTGTTATCTTGCCCAAATTATCTGTGGGAAAAGAGGGAAAAAAACAAGAGTAGGACACGGGAAGTTCACACAGAAACCACATCCACTTGGAGAAGCGACATCAAACCCTTAAAGAACACAAACAACTCCAAGGCACTGCTCAACTGCAATAATATTTTCTTTCTCTTTCTGATCCCTCCTCTAATTTCTCATATTCTTTGTAGTTGATGAACTCAAAACTTTCCAGAAAAACTGGGCTTCGTGCTTCTCCTCTCTCCTCCTTTCTGCTGTCATTCTCAGTCAAATCAACGCGCTACATGTGTTCTTAAAGTCTTCAGGGAGTCTCGATCTGGGAGGGAAAATGCTTATTTAGGTGTAGAAGTGCTCTCTAGATGTATAAATTATGACACCGTTATCCAGCACAGCAGAAAGATGACTCATGAACTCAATGAAAAATCCATTAAGCCTTCACAGACCACCACCACACTCCAGAATCAGCCCTACTGGAACTAGATTCTGTTCCACTATCTTATAAACAAACTTTAAAAATGATGTAGTATTATGGAATTAGGGGTCCATAAGCCAACGCAACTTTTTCAGCAAGCACTATCTAACAGAGTCCTAAAAGTTTATATTGGATTTAAAATAGCTTTTGAGTGCAAGGTTTTTTAGTGAGGTCAGCTTTAGATATTGCACCGCCTGATGGAGAAACATAGTTATACTGTATGATACAGTATATGAAAATAAAATGACAGAATAAGTTGACAGTAATTTGACGAATTTTTGCCAGCAAACTAAATCGGAAACATATGCTTTCTGTTTCAGTTGTGCACTAATTTTGAGAACAGACAGGGGACACTCATTCGTGGTCTTTCTTTAAACCGCTAAAGGGTTTTCCTGTGTTACAACAATATAACATACATCATCATCTGAACACCATTCATTCCCTGACAGGGTTCATTCATCAGTTTAACACACAAATCCCATCGAATGGAGGCTAATGACTTTTTGAATCAATTAGGAAACATGCACATGCACGACTAAATAGGTTTATTTTGGAAACAGCTTTTCAAACCATTTGTTATAAAAAACACACACACTAAAATCAAAATAAATATCTTATAAATGCAGAACTTCTTAAAGCATGTAGCTGCAAATCATATACAGTTCGGTTCACATGCTTTAAAACCACCAGTCTGTTCAATAACCATTAAATTTGTATTTGCTTCAAGAAGTGTACTAATGTATGTATATCATGTTTTGCACTGTAAAAAAGATTTCTAGGGCTGCACAGTCAAACAGAGACACATCACATAAGGAATTCTATAATGCTTCTTGCACATTTCACAGCAGCTTTAAAGTCTGAATACAGCCATGGTATTGTGCAAGTAACCATGCGGAAGTGAGTTCATTAATTGATAATATCCTCGTAATCATAATTTAAGTGAAACTAAAAGTGCTTTAGGCTCTTGATCCACTAAAGTTTGTTTTCCCCAATGTAAGCCTTTTTTTTTGTTTTCAACATTAACAGAACAGCGAGGCACTGGGATTTTCTGTCTGTGAGATAATAGCCCCTTTCACACAGAGATACCGGTAAATATTCAGAAAAGTTCCGGAATGACCTTACTGGTAAACTCAAAAAAGCGCTGTTCATAAAGACAAGGACGTTTTTTATTTAAAGCTTTAGCATTCATGCAGTAGCTTTGTCCCAGAGGCGTCCAAAGGCAGAAGCGCAAACTGCAGCTAAATGGTTGCACATTTGACTACATTACAAATTCTGTGGATAGATAAGTATTGTAAATTCAATAAAAACATGTGTGTGTGCTGGCGCTCACCAGAGCACTCCTTCACTTCACGTGCACTCGCGTCAAGCAACTTGAAAGTAAACAAAAAGCAATGTATCATAAGTATTTTATCGATAATTGTTTCCACAGTTGGCATTAAGAAGGAACATATAAACATTATCTGACTAACATCTAGCAGCTCAATATGTCTGGAAAAATATTTAAAGGCTTTTATTGTCATGAACAGCACAGATGTAGAGTAAATGCAACTGAATGTTCTGATTGGCTGGAGTAGAGTTGAACATGTCATCGCATTTTAAATATAAACGCAAATTACTAGTAATGTCACAACTCCTCTTTCCAGAAAAATGCCGGAACGAATTCAGTAGTATTTTCAAAAAAATGATTGTTCACACATGATCCCTTTCCAGAAAATTGCTGGTAATTTTCCGGAAAGGTCTGTACTGTATGTGTGAAAGGGGCTATTGATGTTACATATGAGCCACTCACCCTATCAAAGTGGAGACAATAGGACTCACACAGCTCCTATACTGTAGCTGACAGAGGCATGTTTTTGCAACATACTGTAGGCTCATTCTGAAAACATAGCCCTATATACATTTCTGGAGATTGCAAATTATGTAGCCAGAGTTACGTATGGCTGCATTTCATCTTTAAAACAAATGCTATGATGCCTTTCCTCTTCTCACTAAGCAGCTGACCACTTACATACCACTTTTCCACTGTTACCAGTTTGTCCGGTAGCTCATTGGTCAGTCAGTCTGTGAGTTGTTCAATAGTGGCCTCTGGTGGATTTACGTGAGAAGAGCAGGTGCGTATGGCACTCGCGAGAGAAATTTGAGATCTTAAAAAGCATACACAGCAACCTTTGGTGGATTCGTAAAAAACAAAAACTGCAAAAAAAAATAATAAAATGTATCTCCTGGGACGCATTTTGCTTTATCCAGAAACGTACATAGGGGTACATAATCAGAATGAGCCTAAGTTTTCTCACCTCTCACCATTCATTCATCATATTAAATATAGTAAGTATTCACTATAATATATTTAAATTAATTATTCCCAGCTGTCAAGGAAGACTGTCTCTTGCATTATACAGAACTGCACTGTATAAAGTGCTCATTTTAGCACTTATGAGGTTTATTTATGTTTATGGGGGGACAGAAACAGTATTCAAGTGCAGCAATTCAATTGGTGTAAAATTACACAAATCAAAGTTTAAACACTACTTTTAATCTTTGATAAACCTAAAAAAGTTATATTTTTAGTGTTTGAATGTTTCAAGCTCTCTAGGAATGTTTAGGCCTTAACCTAGTAACAAGTCTTGAAAAAACACATGCAATGCACGATAAAATTTTACTTTCATTCATTAATTTATTTTTTTTCAGCTTAGTCCCTTATTTATCAGGGGTCGCCACAGCAGAGTGAACCACCAACTATTCCGGCATATGTTTTAAACAGTGGATGCTCTTCCAGCTGCAGCCCAGTACTGGAAAAAATGTTCACTTTATTCATTCATTCATTTTCCTTCAGCTTTGTCCCTTTATTCATCAGGGGTCACCACAGCGGAAGGAACTGCCAACTTACTCAGCATATGTTTTACACAGGAAATGCTCTTCCAGCTGCAACCCAGTACTGGAAAAACCCATACACATTGACACATATAAGTTATGGCCATTTTAGTTTATTCCATCAACCTATAACGCATGTCTTTGGACTGTGGAAAAAACCGGAGAACCTGGAGCAAACCCACGAAAACACGGAGAGAAAATGCAAACTCCACACAGAAATGCCAACTGACCCAGCCGGGGCTTGAATCAGTGACCTTCTTGCTGTGAGGTAATCGTGCTACCCACTACGCCACAATGATGCCCCACTTCCACTTTATTATAATTAAATTATCAATTAATCTACAGAGTTTGGTGCCTGGTCACCTGTTACCCAAACTTGACATCACACAACATGTGTGCACATCACAGTCTTGATGCTGAAGCAAAATATTGTCCAGCCCTAAAACCATCATGCTATATGCATATGCTTTTTATGCTTCATATTGCAATCTTGTACAGTGTAACAATAATTGACTCAGTGTCCTTGATAAACCAGACCTTTGCTAGTGCCTGGGTTTGTGTTCACAATATACTTACAAAAGGGAACAGGGAGCAAAATGAAACACAACATTAAAAACCTCAAAGGACATTTGGTTAGCGCACATTATTCCCATTATTAATGATGTTCATTACTCTCACTGGTCCCCATTTAGATCGATAGGATGAGGGCTAAGTGTTAGCACTTAAGAACAGACACCGCAAGCACCTACACACTCTTAAACAAAGCAAGACATTATTAATAGCAAAGCCAGAATTAATGAGCTTGCACGGTGTAACAACAGTCTGGAGAACATTAGACAGGTTTAGAGGTCACTAAATGAGAGCTGTTTGCTGAAGTGGATTTGGAGGTTTTTGGCAGCCACTACTGGAGGATGCTGAGTAAAAGGTTTGAGGTCAAAGGGTAAGTACAGTAACATTATTTAACAGGCTTGAGACAGTACCTTAATGCTGATCTACAGTTATGTGACTGTTACCTTGGTTACTGAGGAATGAACGCAGTTTGTGTTTTCTTGGAAGGATAAAACTTGCTAGACTGGAGAACTGCATTTGTGATGGAGGCCAGTTTTATTAGTGTTACTAATAGCTGCCAAAACATATGACTTGCTTGATTTTATGAACTGAGACTGGGAATATACTGTAGACCTAGGATACATTAATCATACAAAAATGTAATACTGTGGTTTATTATTACAATTTTAAATACCCGTTCACACCAAGTAATATTGTGTTTAATAAATGTCTAATCATAGATGTCTTGACTAAGACAAAGCTAAATTGGGGCTGTGGGTCAATATCTAATAGACATCTAAGAATAGCCCAAAACTAGACTATCAAATACACAGATTAGACAGACTCACATGTGTAATCATTCATTATAGTGTATTTTAATTTTAGGTTATTCCTAGATGTCTATTAGATATTCGTTGACAATCCTTTACATTTTTTTTAAATGCAACAAATGATTGCTGGGTTTTGTTATTTAGTTTAATCATTTTTTTTAATATGCCCGCAGCAATTCTTAAAGTATAATGATGGAGGATCAAACTCACCAGAGTTTGCTAATTACTGGTCTTTTTATTACAGTTTACTAGTTGTCTAGAATTGAAATAGTATATTTATAACATTATATTTTAAGGCTAACTACTAATCAATTAAGTTTGGATGATTTTTATATGAAAATATTTTGTAAACTTTCAGAAATAAAGGAACACGAGCTGTCACTGGGGTGGTGCCTTTTCAAAAGGCACACATTTATACTTAAGAGTCCATATTGGTACCTCAAAAGTATACCTTAGTACCAACAAATTTTGTATTTTTAAGTACTAATATGTACCTTGAGGTATTAATATTGACATTTAAGGTACAAATATGTACCTTTTGAAAATGTACAGTACCACCCCAGTGACCGCTTGCATACCTTTATTTCTGAGAGTGTATACAGGGTTTGACATTAACTTTTTAGATCACCAGCCTCTGTGGCTAGTAGATTTCCAACATTACTAGCCACTCACCATTTTCACTAGCCACAATTTTGTTGTTGGGAATATATAATATACATAAATTTGATTTTGACATGCTAAAATTACTTGATTTCCACATGCCTCCTCATTCACTTAACTTTTTTGTGTGTTGTGAGCTTGGTGAATAAGCATGAGGACATGGGTTATGGTTTCATAGTGTTTCACTACAAATAGTTTTTATTTCACATGATTTTACAGGGCTCAAAAAATATAAGGATTTACCAAATCCTGGGGGTTGGGTTGGGGTTGTGGTACTCAAGAGCTGTGTTGTCGCGCGATTACTGAAGGGCGGTATGTGTCGCGGGGGCACTTTTGATTATTTTGGAAGGGCACTTTCTATTCAAGAATAAAATGGGCATGTGCACTGCACAGGTTGAGCCCTACGTGTGCACGTGCCTGCCCTATATTAATCCGGGGTCGCCACAGCGGAATTAACCGCCAACTTATCCAGCAAGTTTTTACACAGCAGATGCCCTTCCAGCCACAACCTATTTCTGGGAAATATCCACACACACATTCACACACACACTCATACACTACGGACAATTTAGCCTACCCAATTCACCTCTACCGCATTTCTTTGGACTGTGGGGGAAACCGGAGCACCCGGAGGAAACTCACGCGAAAGCAGGAAGAACATGCAAACTCCACACAGAAACGCCAACTGAGCCGAGGTTCGAACCAGCGACCTTCTTGCTGTGAGGCAACAGCACTTCCTAGTGCGCCACAGCCTCGCCCTAGCTGTATACTTGATTTTTTTATTCAACAAAACTTTTCTTAAAAAAAATAAATTAAAAAATTAAAAAATTATATATATAATTAATTATATATATATATATGTGTGTAGTAGTCTGTCCTGGCTAAAGATCTCAGATCACCAGAACAACAGATAAATCTGGAGTTAATCTCCTGATAAAGAAATGTTATTGAAAATGTTAATTAACCATATCGACAAAAGTAAGTGCTGCTGCTGCTGCTTACCAAAATACTTTTTTAAGAAAAACATCTGGAGCTCTTGAGAGCAGTACTGTGGGTGCACAAGCATCACTTTTTGTCCTGTCTATTTCAAAGAAAACTGATCGCATCAGTTGCATTTTCAGGCACAGCTGCTTCACGCAAGGAAATGGGAGCGCACATGCTTTTTTTTGTGCGCATCATATCAGCTGTTAGCGCGAGGGATCTCTCATTTGATATTCACTTGCTTTCTTTTGCTTGCACGAACACATTTTTGTCAGTCATGCTGTTTCTCAATTCTAAGATCGCATTTGCATGCATATTGCGCCATTCTCATTGTTTTAAGAAAACTACAATTTAAAAATTATTTTCAACCAACCAAGTGACTAGTGGGAGTAGCTGTCTTACCTGCCACAGCTGAAATCTACCCACATTTGGCGAGTTGGTGGGTGTCAATGTCAAGCCCTGTTTGTAGATATGAATAATCTTACCTTGAACACTTATTCTGGAATCTAGCTGTGGCTCAGATGCATATCTCCATAGTGGCTAACATTAAAACAATATTTGTTTTGGTAAATCTAATGGTTAGTCTTTAGTCTAAAAAAAATACTATTTTTTCTAAACAAATATATTTGCGTATTGTTGTTCATTAAATTGTATGGTCGAATCAACAATATTTTATATAAATAAGAATAGTATAACAACAGTAATTTGTATTGCAAAGCAGCCTGTGCTTCTAGTGATGATTAACATTTCATGTTACAATGTTCAGCAATCAGACGGTGGTAGAGACTATTGTATGAGTCATCTGTAAAGATTTTTTTATTGAAAGGGATCAAAGCCAGCGTTGTCATGGAAAATCCCCTTAACAGTTGAAAATATACACTGCCTTTTTTTCAGCAGCCATTACTCTTTTATTTCACTGTTCCTTGACATTTTCCTTGTTATTCCTTGATATCAATATTGAAAACATATGTACTGACTTTTTTTGAGACTTTTTGATTGAAGATTGAAAAAGTGCATAACCAACTGGTGCTTTTTCTTTTTTATTTTGATACCATGTGTGTAACAAAACATATATATTAATAACAATAATAATATATTAAAAATAATATATTAATAATAATAATAATAATAATAATAATAATAATAATAATAATAATAATAATAATCCACAACCTTTACGTAAACATTTGCTTTGGTGATTGATTATTATTATTTTTTTCAAATACCATCTACAACAAACACTGTGAATGTTTGAGTGGCCAAAAAACAATGAACACCATTTCCTAATACAAACATGACCTCATAATCTCATTTAATCTCAAGTCCCAAAACAGTAAAAGCTTTTACATTAAAATGTTTCCATTTCAATGTCAGACAGTTGTAAAGTAAGTGCTCACCTATGACACAGAATGGCTTCCTTGCAAAGCGAAGACGTCCCTGCCATCCTCTGTACCGGCAACAACAACCAGCAGACCAGATGCGAATGATGTACTCCAACCCAAACACAACGATCATAACAAACTCCTACAAAAACAAAAACAAAAATGGTTTTGTGGGTGTACATAGATATCCTATTACTCAGTCGGAGACCTATAAGTACTTGGGCATTTACATTGACAGTTCTTTTACATGCAAAACACACATAAAGTGGGTTTGTTATTGTTTATATCTTTATGAAGTTAACAAGAAGCTTATTATGTTGTTTTATAAAGCTATTCTTGAAAGCATTGTCAGGTATGGTCTATCTGTACAGTGTAAATTTAAGCTGATGCATCACTTAAAGACAGGACGGAAAATTGTTGGGCACAATGAATATTTTAATCCTCAAGTTTTATGAGTATTGTGTCCATAATCACTATTCTGAATGATCCAAATTGTTTGTTTCCACATTATGAACTGCTTCCCTCTGGTAGGAGATACAGTGTATATAGTCCCTAAGTAAAAACCGATATAAGAAAACCTTCTGTACTCGTTTCAGTCAAAGTGATTTCACTCAGTGGCCATCTTTGAAACGCCTCTCGGGCAGTATGCCCAGGCATTTTGTTTGATTGGAGAAACATCAAATTTTCCAAAACTGCTTGCCAAGACTCGATTATCTTATCAAAATATAGATATTTCAGTAATTTTGAGCAAATATGTAGTTTATTGGAAATAGAAATACAGCTGAAAGCAACTACAATTATCCTAGTTTATATGATTAATGCCAACTTAGTCTAAACTACATGGTCTTCCGCCTGCCAAGTCATGTGCGTAAAATGGCACTGTACAACTCCAGAGCACGCAAGCTAGCCACTCATCAATCCGCTGGCACATGTTGTTCGGTCAAGCTATCATTGGATATGGGTGACCACAAGCAAAGTTAAGTGTGGAGCTACTTCACTTCCATAAACACAAACGGTGCAGTTTGTGACACATGTAACAAAAGCGTGAGGTACTGTGGCAATACCACAAACCTAATCAAACATCTACATAGAAAGGACAAGACAGAATATGACAACATCATAACTAGGCCGTCAGAAGAGGAGGAAAGGTGAGGCACAGGTGCTGCTAGGGTGAGAGAAACATCGCTTTCAGGGTCCTTAGGTGCAGCAAGCAGGTACTATCAGAGGGAGAAAATGTGGCAATGCGACTGTATTTGGGGGCTTGATTTTTTTTGACAATAACAAAACAACGACAGTTCCCGGAATTCTTAAACCAATTTTGTTGTAGAACTTTGGTTATGAAATAAGTAATGAAATAACTAAATGACCAAAATGTCTGCAATAGTTCAGCCTGGAGTAAAATGTGTACCTGGAGTAAAATCAGTATAGCTGATAATTTCACTTGGTAACAGATCGGAAAAGAAATCAGTGGTATCGCACGTCTGTTCCGAGCCCCTGCCCCAAAGTATCATCAGTCTATAGCAATGGATGATTGGCTCCTTACTAAAAGGCGGGCTTTATTCACCATATAGTGATCAACGATTGGATCCTGTATTAGAAGGCTGGTCCTCATTCGCCATATTGACCATTTCACTTTTCCCCCATTCAAAACAATAAGAGTGACCTGTCTTGTGTATTCTGTTGTCTTTGTTTCAGTGGGTTTATTTAACGAGAGTTTATCTTAATTAGCATTATAATTATTGTAACTACTGTACTTTGTATAGTTTTATTTTATTACTTTTTGTGGAATGCCTGCACCAATATGGTGATGCCCAGAACAATTTTTTTATTAAAGTTTACTACAACTTTAACTACTACTACTACTACTACTACTACTACTACTTTTAATAATAATATAGACTAAAATGAATCAAATTGCAATAGTTATCAAACAACTGTGTTCGATACATTTTCCAAAATTGTGCTATTTAAATGATAATTGATACAATTTTAACTAAAAATACCAAATGAACTAAACTAATTAATACACATATTAACAAATCACATGTAAAAAGCTGTGAGACAATCTATGATACACAGTATGCTATTGTGTTCAAGATAATCTTGGTATTGCCAAATTATAAAGCCAATGCAAACATAAGCTCACAATACAACATTTGGAAACTCCCTAATGCACACAGGAAGAAGCAGATGTCAGCTTACGTATATGGATCTCCTGATTCCCCATACAGAAGTCAATTTGAAGACAGTATGTTGACTTACATCCTGTATTTGCATTGCATTAGAGATGAAGCAACTGTGACAGAATAAAATGTGCTGCATTATGCTGCCATTCGCCTTTCACTCCAGAGAACTGACTACAGATCATAAACATCATACAGATCATGTTTGGTGTCAGCTGAGTCAATAAGGCAGATCAGGTCAATTTGTATAGCCATCATTACAAATACACAAACCAGCAGGCAGGCAGAAGCAGAAAAACAATAACAAAAACCTTTGATTCAGCGTTTCAGCCTCTCACCTGTGGCTGGCTATTGTCAGGGCTTTGTAATCAAATAACTATTGACAATATTTCAGCAAGCTGAATTAAAGCCACAGGTCAGATTCTAACAAACAACATCAGGGCTTAATAATAATGGTTGCATTTCTACTGTGATCTGACTTGTTTGGTTAACCTGACCTGTGTTGTACTATTAAAAATGCTCTGTTATGCTTTTCAGATGAACTGTAACAGCTTATTCTTAGTGTGATATACCGTATATGTTTGTGTTAAAGGTCTGCCAAGATTTTTTTTCTTAAATCTGAAACTATGGTGATTATAGGGCATCCATTCTTTTTTTCTCAAATAAAATCTCTGTGGTGATTTGACAGATCTTCTGGATATTTTGGTTCTTTTATTAAATTTCTAAATCAAATTAATCCTTGCACACTGTTCAAATTCACTACCAATTTGTTTTGTTAGGAAACATCCACTAATTCATTCAGTCATTCATTTTCTTTTTGGCTTAGTCCCTTTATTAATCTGGGGCCAGATGAACCGTCAAATTATCCAGCATATGTTTTATAGAGTGGATGCCCTTCCAGCTGCAACCCATCACTGAGAAACATCCATACACACTCATTCACACACATACACTACGGACAATTTAGATCACCCAATACACCTATAGCACATGTTTTTGGACTTGTGAGGGAAACTGGAGCACCTGGAGCAAACCCACTGAGAGAACATGCAAACTCCACACAGAAATGCCAACTGACCCAGCCGAGGCTCGAACCCGTGACCTTATTGCTGTGAGGCAAATGTGCAACCCACTGTGCAGCCATCCACTAAATAAACTGCTGTAAAAATGCATCAGATATTTCTTTTTTCTTTTTTCTTTGCAAAAATCTGTTAATCAGTCCTGATCAAAATTACATATTTTCAATTTAAAAAGTAATTGTGGACTGGATTTAATTTACCTTTAATCACAGTCTTGGACATGTGAACAATTAGTAAAAACATTGTCTTTGATGCATTGTTAAATTTAAATTTTTTTCTCCCTTATTTACTGTTGGTGGCTGTTTTTGCCCCATTGGCTTCAATTATAATCAAATTTGATGGTGCATAAATACACATTCTTTGTTTTTATTTACTCCATGTAGTTCTGAGAGCTGAAATGCATATTTTAATTTTCTCAGATCAAGGTGTGTAAAGTCACTCTCACAATCTCACACACTCACACACACATACACACACTGTAATTTGCTGTTATACATTCATTTCTTGTCGGCTTAGTCCCTTTATTAATCTGGGGTCGCCACACTGGAATGAACCACCAACTTATCCAGCAAGTTTTTTACGAAGTGGCAACCTATCTCTGGGAAACATTCACACACACACTCATACACTATGGACAATTTAGCCTACCCAATTCACCTGTACCGCATGTCTTTGGACTGCACACGCGAAGGCAGGGAGAACATGAAAATCCACCCAGAAATGCCAACTGAACCGAGGTTCGAACCAGCAACCCAGCAACCTTCTTGCTGTGAGGCGACAGCACTACCTACTGCGCCACTGCCTCGCCCTGCTGTTATACTCCTATAAAAAAAAAAACTGAAACTAAAACTTGGCCTATCTAAAGCGTTAATGGTGCCAACTGATGATCAACAGTAAAAGTTACAAATGGTACTTCTTCCCAACAGGAACAACCACCAACAATCAAAAATGCTTGATTTTATGCTGTCATGATTTTGTAATATAAAAAAGGTTATAGTGGAAGTCAATGGGGCAAAAAACAGACACCAACAGTAAAATAGGGAAAAATAATAAAAATAATAATGCATCAAATGTAATGTTGTTTCACATGTCAAAGACGTAAGGTAAAAAAAGTTCAGTCCACAATTACTTTCATATTGAAAATGTCATTTTGTGTTTTTTTTCCCCCCCACCAAATCAGTGACATTATTTATGAAGTTGGCAATTAAAGAGTTAAACTCCCTTAGTTTTCCAAGCAATTAAGTAGTTTTGATCAAGACTGGGATTGACAATCCCAACAGATTTATGCAAAAACAATTGAAGTTGAAAATTGAAAATATTTATTTGATTTATCTTTACAGGAGTTTAATTTAGTGGATGTTTTCATCCATTACATAACCAATGGGGAGTAAATTTGCCCACAGTGTATCGTTGAGTTCCTTAAAAAAAATAAATAAATCAAAGCACGTTTAAAAAATATGTGTCAAAATAAGATTTGACAGTAAAAACTATTCCAGTAGCTGAAACACAGAAAATGTTATGGTCAAATTAAGACACAAAATTACCCCAGAGTGGATGATAACATCCCCAACAGCACATAAGGGTTAAAATATCTGGACGAATTGATTTAAAATGATTGCATGTGCTTGTGTTTATTGTGAAGAACAGATCTATAGATCCTCCAAAACACAATCAGCAATACACAGATTTGCTAGTGGCAAAACAACTGCATTATGAAATCATCTAAATAATATTCAATTATCAGCCTGCGAGCAAAATAACATACCATGAAACCGTTTGTTTAACGATATGCAACAGCTATTCATAAGTTGTAGTATTTTTACAGGTTTACACTTGTGTCAAGCATATTATATTTACCACAGCAGTTTGTTTAATTTGACCTCTTTTCTGTGACAGCATGGAAAATGCATAATATTTAAAATAATTTAAAAAGTAGCAGTCTGTGATCTCCTTTACTGTTTCAAATTAGCCACATATTAGCGGTCAGTGCATATTTCTTCACAAATAAATATCTAAATATGAGTAACCTTTATGTTTAACCTATATCTATACTGCAGAAAAAAGTGAGGTACAAATGCTTTCAAAGTATGTTCGTTTCTACATAAAATGTCTATACTAGCACAGCAGTTTTGAATTATTTTAATAATCATTAGAGATATTGAAATATATATATATATATATATTACATTATTGTTATTTTCTCAAATTCAATGAAATACTCTTTTAAAAAATATCCACAGTTTCATGGAAAATGTTTTAATATCGCCTTCGCCTCAAATCATATAATCTAATCCTGTTTATATAAAATAAGCCTGCTCCCTAGCAGGATTGAGTTTACCAATCTGTTGCTACGACAACAACTCCTGGATGACGTTTGATGAAGGAAACTACTGTAGATTATGTCAAACAGTTTGCAATCAATCCAGGTAACTGAGAAATCCACAAATAAAGAACATACCCCAGATTTCTAAAATGCAACCCAGCAAAATTTTTTAGTTCAGTAGTCAAAAGAGCATTGAAATCTGTCCTATGATTAACTAGAATATATATTAAAAAAATTGGGGACAATATATTTTGTTTATTCTCTCTTCTTTGTGATGTCTTGTTTATTGCTTGTTTTCACCCCATGGCCTTCCAGTCTTCTTCCTTGTGAGTAATTATAATAAATATACGTGTTTTGATAATCTTGCGAGTCTGTGCCTTCCTCAAGTGAACTTGAGGCGTTACAGTATAATAAATGCACTTCTCATATGACAACATTTTTCTTGCCCAGCTCTGGCCCAGAAATCACCTTTTGCTTGGCCCAGATTCATTCATTTATTCATTGATTTTCTTTCCGTCTTAGTCCCTTTTATTAATCTGGGGTCGCCACAGCGGAATGAACCGCCAACTTATCCAGCACGTTTTTAAGCAGCGGATGACCTTCCAGCTGCAACCCATCACTGGGAAAGTTTGGCCCAGATACTGCGGTCATTCATTCATTCATTTTCTTGTCGGCTTAGTCCCTTTATTAAACCAGGGTCACCACAGCGGAATGAACCGCTACCTTATGCACATTTTTACGCAGCAGATGCCCTTCCTTCATACACACACTCACACACTACGGACAATTTAGCCTACCCAATTCACCTGTATCACATGTCTTTGAACTGCACCCGGAGGAAACCCACGCGTATGCAGGGAGAACAAGTAAACTCCACACAGAAACGCCAACTGAGCCGAGCCGAGGTTTGAACCAGCGACCTTCTTGCTGTGAGGCGACAGCACTACCTACTGCGCTACTGCGTTGCCCAGATGCTGCGGTGAATTATAATAAATGGGGGAACCATGTCTGGCTTCCAGGAAACGATTAAACATGGACCATATCTGGGCCAAGTCTCAGTTAATTCTCGAATTCTACTTGATAGGTACAATTTTTTTTTCTTGGGTCAAGATAGGCCAAACTTACATAGCTCACATATCAGTTTTTAGCATTTGGGCCAAATACTAAATTTGACATCTGGCTCATGTCTTGTGTGCCGCCTCAAAGATGGTGCCACCTCTTCCAAACCTGGGCCATGTTTAGCCCACATCCTATATTCCAGTGCCCGATGAATGCCTGCTGTACCAGATTTATGACTAATCTGGGCCAGAATTCTTTGCTACCTGGGTTACTGTCTTCGAACAGAACAAACAAGTAGGTAGTAACTCAAGTCTTCCTGCACTAGCTTAAGTAGTTTTGTTAGAGATTTGAACAATCCCAGCCTTTGTGTCTGCAAACACAGACTATGACTTGGAAGAGTTTGGTTTGTGTTATTAACATGTTGTGAAAACTAATCCACATTTGATTCACATCAAAAAGACAAGGATTCACATCCATATTTGATTTGACAGAATATAACAAAAGGTATCATTATTGGGCATTTTACTGTGCTCACTAACCTTAGTAGGTGTAATTCATATATGGCAATGAGTGTTTGGTTTCCAACTTTAGACCAATCCCAACAGATCTGACCAATCAAAGTTGAGCAGGCTTTCAGAAAGGAGGGGTTTATGAAAACGTATTGATGGATCATTGAAAATATTCTGAGAAAGAAGCAATGCTCTGGTGTATATCAAGAGAAAATTAATGTGTTTTTTGACCTTGGAGGAATATAAACTCTGTAGATTTGTTAGCAATGTAGAGGTACAGAATTAGCATTCAGGTGTGTGTGGAGACTCATCATAAGGCAAATAGAAGCTGCCTTTGGTTAGCAGAAAAAAAGCACTATATAATGGGCTATATAGAAAATGTTGCCGGCTGGAGCACAAATCAATCTCAATAAGTGCTGCAAATGGAATTTGAAATGGGCACCAACTCCAAAAATGAGCCATGAAAGATGTAGTAAAAACATTGCATATACCTTCTATGCCAAGTCAATGTCATCCTTTCAATGTACAAAAACCAAAAGTTTATCATATATTATTTAATGTAGTTTAAGTTCAGGCCTAAATAAGTATGTTGTATCAGTTTTATGTGACAATACGACAATTCTTCATTCATATTTTGACAAATAAAAACTATTAGACACGTATGTGATAAACATGATGCATGTGTATATACAATTACTTCTGTCATTTTAATTTAATGCAAACTTAAGTTTAATGATCAATAAACAATATTTTGGATTATCTACAGTAATTGTAACAATTAAAATATTTGGAAATCATTGTTGGGACATTTTAAAAGGTCAAACAGTTTACTAAAGTTAAAAATGTTAGGACAATGCTTTTTCTAAAATGTCTGTTTATAAAAGCTTTGCAGTTAATATTTTGCTTTATTTGTATTATGACACTGTAGTCCAACTCTTACCAAAATCAGAAGACTCTGAGAGGCCATTTCCTGGTGATCTGGAATGGTAGAGAAGACAGACAGAACCAAGCAGCCAAACACCAGCACAAACCTGGAAAGACAAAAAAAAGAAAACTAAATTTTTTTTAATGATTTTTAGTCAAAGATTTTTCTCAAACATGAAAAACAATTTGATATTGATTGATATAAACATTTTAAAGTTTCAGTTTACTTCAGATTTCCTTAATTTTTACCCCTTTCAGTTCTACAGAAATATCTTTGGCAGAATTAGACACTAATCTGAAATATTTCTCTAAATATTTCCAACTTTATGTCCCATAAAAATAATTTTCCATCATCAATAAGAAATATGGCATGAGGAAAACTGCTGTTCACAGAACAACTGTGCCTGGAGATTTGCATTATTGACCCCTTCAAACAAGGGGTTGGAGACATCTGTATTTGATCACTGGACCTCTACGTCAACTGCCTGCTCTCTAGCTCCCAATTCCTCTCTCATCCTTTAGCTTTATCCCTTTTGCTCCATGTAATCTGTTCCCACTCTGTATTTTTCACAATTATTAGTCCATTTCCTTGCAAATTCTCATGCCTCCCTCCTTGTCTTGCTTTCATTCAGCCTTTTTTTTACTTTCTCCCACATACTGTAGACATAAAGACACAGAAGGCATTTTTGAATAATAAATAAATAAAGACAATTTAAAAATAAGTTTCAATTATATGTAAATAATGAAGGTATGGTACAAAACAATACAAAATCAGAAAAGTAGTTTCATTGCATTTTTGAAAAGTTTTTTGAACAGATTGTATTATAAACTATAGACAAAAATTTACCACATTTAAAAAAATCATGTTATTAACAATCATTATAAAGTTTTTTTTTTTTTTTTTTTTTTTTTAACTTGCAATGTGTCACAATCACCAGCGATCTAACTCTCATAGATCACTGAGAATCATTCACTTTTACTCAGGACTACAATTCTGTCACCTTATGGACTACCAATCTTGTTATGCACCACACACTCACACCTGTTCCGGTTTTCCACTGATTGCTAACACACAAAGCTGAAGCTGTTCAGAATTGATTAAATGGACTTTAAAAGCAGAACAGACACACACACACACGCGCACACACCAATTGCTGAGTTTTGTTAAACTATACTGTGAGCATTGCGACATGTTTTCCTTGCCTTATCTTACCATACAACTTTTGCTTTGTTTTGTTTGTTTACATTGCTTCCTGCCTGTAGACCTTTCGCCTGTTTAATGACCTTGACTCTGGATTGCTTGTATACATCTGTTTGACCTAGTTGACCATTGCCTGCCTGACTGCTTGTGGATTCTCAGGTGAATGACTCCCAGCGAACTATGAGGGTTATATCGCTGGTGATCCTGACGCAATGTCAAAAGTAAAATAATAGCCAAAATGCATAGTTTTTAGCTGAAAATAGTGTGTGTACACACCTGCTTAAAATATTTCATTCACACACACACATGGATGCACGCACGCACCCACCCACACACAATCTAGTTGCTAATCTAGTTGTCTAACCGTGTACAATTTTTGTTCACACTTATATTTACCCCGAAATATATATTTACCAAGAGAAGCACTATGTTCAATCAATCAAACTTTGATAAAACCCACCGTCTAAAACCTTCCAAACTGACCTCTAACATACAGCAGAGCCTCACACCCTAAGGCATATAAAACACTTCTCTATGACTTAATACAAGTGGACAGAACTGAATAGATCAGAGAAAACACGACCTTGGCTGACCCTATGACTGAGATGAACAGTTTTTGCTATGCTGTGCAGTTTCGTGTTGATGCGAGAATCATTAATCTTACAAAATACAGTACTCTTCTGTATGTTTCGGTTTACTGCTTTGCAAAATTATCATTAGAACTAATCAAGCACCATCTTCATCACAAATGTTTACAGAATTTTCCCCTTACAGAATCTTGAGACCTTTTCTAGTGGCGCCATGTGGTTGAGCCGGACTCTGTCTAAACTGACCTGAGTAAACTAGACGAGGCTATAATTTAAGAGCTTATAAAACAGGGTTTAAAGGCTTGATCTATCGGTGTGGTGTTTGTGTGAAAGCAGTGGGCGTTATGGGGTGCCTCACCCTTTGACCTGGCCTCTGCTCAGAAACAGCGGCCCAGCTCCACTACAGAGAACACAGGGCAGAGGGCAGGGGCAGTGTTTTCCATAGGCTGTCATATGGCAATGTCTTTGCTGCATGTCTGGATTTACTCACAATTCCAGTTCTCACTGAACGAACCCATTAGAGCATTCAGTGTGTCACGTGATTAGCTGCTACATTCAGATCTACTTTATGGTGACGGCTGAGTAAGACGTGCATGGCACTTGTCATAAATCATAATTTATAAATATATTCAAGCAAATATGCTTCAGGCAATTAAATACACAAGTATTACACTGTAAAACCCAATAAGTAAAGGTAACTCAAACCATTTAAGGAAATTGCAACAAACCAAGTTAAAAAAACTAACCCTAATGAGTACTGTAAACTTAATCCATTTGAGTAAACGAAGCAATTTCAGCACAGTAAAACCCAATAAATGAAATTAACTTAAACTAACTGAGTACTGTAAAACCCAATAAGTTAAGGCAATTTAAACCATTTGAAGAAACTGATTGTAACAAACCATTTGAGTTAAAAAAACGAATCTATTTGAGTACTGTGAATTTACTTCATTTAAGTTGAGGGAATGAGGTATTTAATTAACTCATTAGCTTCAACACTGAGTTCAAAACACTTTTCAAATGAGTAGACAACTTTCAGTCAATTTTAAGTCAACTACACTCATTTCATTTGATAAAGTTGATGTTGGGTTTTACAGTGTAGCAAACACATTTGTGTTTTGTAGAATACTCGCTGATGTCTAAATTACAATATATATATATATATATATATATATATATATATATATATATATATATATATATATATATATATATATATATATATATATATATTTTTTTTTACTTAAATGTCCCCAAGAAATCTAAACTAACCATATGAGTTTGTAAGCTCACATTGCCAGTTTTGTGGTGAACAATTAATCTGTGCATGTCATTAATAAAAAAGTTTGCCCTTCTAATCTTTCATTGAAATCTGAAAATGCACTTTCTGTTTGTTTTCAGTTAAATTATCAGATTACATGATTTTGAGGTAATGGGTGGGGCTAACATATTTAACCAGGCTGGTTCAACTGTCAGTTTTGACAACAAACAGAAATAGTGAGAAGGAGGGTTCTGTGGTTGTAATAACTCTTCTAAAACCCCTTTCCCAATCTTTCTGAATGAAGTGCCAACCTTATCCATTCAGCTTGCAGTAGAAAAAACAAGCCACACCCACTGTTTTGCTTATTTAATATTCAGTTTCTCTAGGAACTGCATCACAATACGAAAAAAGTAACGATCACAGCTTCTGGTTTGTTGGGACTTTAACACTAGAACTGTTACAGAGGCTGTAATTTTGACCATTTTTAATTTGCTGAAATAAAACCCATGTATCTATAATACCCCAACTTTTCCTAAATATGTGTGTATATTTCTTTCTAATATTGTTATTTTATTATACTTACAAAAAACAAAAGAGCTATGAATGTTTTTACATTTAATTACCATAGCGGGCAAATGACTGCATGCATTTCTGCTGCCTAGCAACTTCCTGCTGACATAAACCTAACTTTCTGATAGCAAAATCATAACTTTACTTATGTCTTTCAAAACAGTATATTGAGTGTCGCAAAAAAAAAGCCTTCTCCTGTGCTTATGAAAGTAAAAATGAAAGTGTTCTAGTAGCCTACCTACACATTTATAGGTTGTAATATCAAAAATATTGTATTTTTATGGTAATGACTCACTCATGACAACAGACATTTAATGATGTAAATGTAATATCTCAATAGAAGCTTTGAATGTAAATATGAAATGACAATATTACATGTTATATGAGAACCGTCAAAATGACTGCTATGGCAATTCCAGTAGTTGTAGAATTCATGATCAATGTGCTTTTTTATTCACATGTAATAAACAGGCTCAGTCTATTCATCCAATTGAACAGCTACTTCTAGTACAAAATTTCATGTATTTTGAGAGAAGTTAAATTAGAGAATTTGCATGTTGTAAACAGCTCTTAGTTTTGTACAATAAAAAAGATTAATTACATATTTTTTGACATATAGTAAAATTAACATATGCAATGTTTTTTTTACTACATCTCTCAGAGCTCTCAGGGAAAATTTAGTCAACAATTCATAAGGACAGTTACCTGAACAAATGAATATTTTTTTTTAAATGAAACAGTTGAGTGAATGTTTCAATTACTCCAGAGTAGATGGCTACTTGTTTCATCAGTAGTTGTTTTCTTCAGCGACCTTCTTTGAAATGCCTCTCGGGTAGTATGCTCGAACATTCTGTCTGATTGGGGAAACATCACATTTTCTAAAACCAAGCTTACGATTGATTTTCACATTAGAAATCACCAATAAAATTAAACAATAGCTGTCACTTTAGTTTCACTTCTAAACTTCCAAAACACACAAAATCTGCAGAAACTCACGTCTGGTCCAACCCCTCACCTGGAGTATTGTCAGTCTATAGCGATCAATGATTTGCTCCTATACTAGAAGGTGGGCTTGATTTGCCATATACCAATCAATGATTGGCTCGTGTACTAAGAGGTGGGGCTATATTCACCATATTGACCGTAACACTTTTCAATTTAAAAAGATACAGGTGACATGTCTTATGTGTTCTTTGGTTAGACATATTTATCAAATTCAAGAGTCAATGCCATCTTTTAAAAATTTTTTAGGGGTTTTTCACCTTTATTACGATAGAACAGAAAAGATTTCAGACAGGAGAGCATTGAGAGCAGAGAGAGGGGAAGGATCGGCAAAGGACCTCGAGCCAGGAATCGAACTTGGGTCGCCATGAACACGTCAGTGCTATATGTCAGCAACAATGACAATCTTTTTGCAGCTAATCCACAGATTACAAACAGTTATCTTGGAACTCCCCCACACATAGACAGATGGAATGAAAAACTGTGAAAATATCCACATCACCAATCACATTTGAGAGGAATAAATAGTGCATAACTCCCCAGAAAAACTTTTTGCTCCTTTAATTCTAATAGTTGTGTTCATACAACGAGTTAGTGTTTTCAGTACGAAATGATTATCTGCTTTTAAGTAAAAAAGTCAAACAAACAATTTAATGACTCATTACTAGGCTCACACGTAATCTGTGCACGCAAAAATCTGCAAATTTTTAGTATATTTATTTACTTCTGCAAATGTGTGTAAATTGTAAATTCATATTTATTCAACTTTTTAATTAATTTTGCTAATATTATTGACTTATATTAAAATTTACATTAGATTTTTTTAGAATACAGTTTGTATAGTAATATTTTCTATCTTTTAGTAGATATAATATATGAGACTTACTTTGTTTACCAAATAAGTGGGTCTAATTGGATTTTCATTTAAGACATTAAATAAAAGTTTTCATATTATTATTATTATTTCATAGTATTATTTTTTTATTTCATATATTAAGTTTTTAGTTATGATACTCTAAAAATCATTATGCATAAATCCACAGAGTTTTTACAAAATTCATCACAGGAATAGCAAAAAACCATAGGACAGATTCTGTCATGTCCTACTCATTGCTTGTTCATTTGTTTAATAAAGCTTTAACAACTCTACCATAAACACAGCCATATGTTTTAATCATAAACACACTTCTAATGAGTCTTTGTGATAAACCAGTAGAAGTTTATGTGACTAAACAATTCATGTTGAGAATACTCAAACTAAAAGCTTATCTGGAACTCCCCAACATAGAGAAGCAGAGTGATGCAAACAAATGAAAAGTTCCAACGCTGTTCAACTCAACCAATCAGAATCAGAACAGGCCCCAGTGGTTGTATAATTCTCAATAAAACCTTGAAAGTGAATACAAAATAAATAAACAAATAAAAATTGCAGGGTGACATTTGCAACAACCACCTATACTGGATGGATGGTTGAAATGAAGTAGCGGAGAAAGTAGACTGCAATAGACATTACAATTATCTGTCAAGTAGCCAGTGCATGTCTGTTGTTTAGGGCTCTAGTATTTAAAGAGAGCTCTTCTACTCTCCTGCCTCTTGTCAACTCACTCAGCCAGACCTATTTCAGTTCAGCGCCTATGCATAAAATGCTTTTTTTTTCAGAGGAAAATGGAAAAAGAGTAAGTGCATGAAACTGAAGTAGCTCCCCTCATCAATCATCTGTTAGTCCAGGCTAATTACTCAACCCTGGTCTCCAACCCTGTTCTTTTGTACCTGCGTGTCATTTCCTGCCCTGGTGGGTGGCAGTTGGTGTGTCTGTAGAGTGTCACAGCCTTTGATGTCGAAAAAGAAGGTCTTAACATTTACATGCAGACCACAGTAAACACACACACTTTCTCTCTCTGAAGTGCCACTTAATAGGCATCATTTTGCATAATCAAATTGATTTGTTTTGAAGGTGAGTGCCAGGGACGAGTGACTAATGAACCAAATCTCCCTCTCTTACACAGATATGTATCACGCCATTTCATTATTTCTTATTTGATGTCCAAAACAGCAGATGGAAGTCTGATATTTCTCCAAGTCCCTGCCCTTGTGATTTATATCACTAATTTTGTATACACACCATTGTGTGTACAGTACTCAGCATAATTGGGTACACCCATTTTTGAAAATTTTTTACCTTTTCTCAGTAAATATAGGCAATGTATTTTGGTGCATTTAAACAAAACCGATTTATTAAACAGATATTAAAATAATCTTGTAGTCACCAAACATATTTAGGAAATTAAAGATAATAAAATTAAATTCAAGCTGAATATTGCAAAAAAATAAAATACAACCTACAAAATTTCAACTAAATTTATTTATTTTTTTGTTCTTTTGATTTTTCTTCTTTTTAATTTTGTATTTAATATTTTTCTATAACATCAATTTGGCTGCACTAGTTTTTGGACCGTTATTGTATTTTTTTCAGATAAGCTCCGGATTTGGCTTCAGTACTGACTAATCTAAAGTATATGTACAAATATAATATTGCATAGCTTCCTGTTAAAAATTTGAGTTTAAAAAGATAGATTTGTGAGGGTTGTACTTATATATGCTGAGCACTGCAGTTACAAAT